ACTCTCAGCTCCCATTCAGAACCAGCACCAGCCCTGCGATCCCCATGCTTGCTCTCCCTTCTCAGCCTGGCTGCCCCCAAAGGTGCCACCACATGCTGGCCCCCAGTGTCTCTTCAGCCCCCCAGGGCTCCGCATCCTGCCCAGAGAGCTGCACCTGGGGCTGGAGTGATAGCACAGCAGGTAGGGTGTTTGCCCTGCACACAACTGACCTGGGTTCGATTCCCAGCATCCCTTAGGGTCCCCCAAGCACTGCCAGGAGTAATTCCTGAGTGCATGAGCCAGGAGTAACCCCTGTGCATCACCAGGTGTGACGCAAAAAGAAAAAAACAAAAAAGAACTGCACCCACAAGGGCCGCCTGTGTGTAGGCAGACCGTGCAACCTCACTAACCCCTCACCAGCGCCCCCGGTCCTTGCTCCTTCGCTCCTTTGCAGCAGCTGCTCTGTTCCTCCCTGAGGGGCCCTCAGGACCCCCACAGCCCTTCTCAGCCTCACCCAGCCTGACTTCAGCCCAGCTCTCCTGCACACCGTGGACTCACCAGCTGCCCGTCCCTCACACGTTGCTGTGACTGTCGCTCTCATGGCTGGCACTGACGTTGACCCTCACCCCAGCCCGTTGTCAGGCGGCCTCCCATCCTGGCCCTTCTGCATGACCACCACCACCACCACCAGAAATATCACCTTTGTGATGCAGAGATCCTATCCTGTCCTCTGGTTCACCAGGACTCCCACCCTGCCTCTTTGCCTATCTCCTGCCCTGCAGTTTGGCGTGTGTGATACCCATGGCCGCCAACAAGACTTACACACATTTGGAATGTTTCTCGCGGTTCCCACGTCTCTCCCTGATCTGGAGGTGAAGGAACCTGCCTTGCATGCAGCTGACCCCAGTTCAGTGCATGCAAAGGGAATCGAATGTAGTGAATGGGAGTCAGGGGGTGGAGGGCTTCTGGTGGGGAGCACAGCATCCTGAAATCCAGGAGGTAAGATTTGGTTCTAAGGAACTGGGGACTGGACAGTGGATGCAGGCAGAGTGGTTTGAGATGGGTCCAGGAGTAGACTGGGGCCAGGGGGTTGGATTTCCGTTGGGGGGGTGGGGACCATATGGGATGCTGGAGATTGAACCCAGGTTAGCAAGTAAGACGAAAGTCCTACCTACTGTAACGTATCTCTCTGGCCCAAGGGGTCTGAGATTCGGGGGGGGTTAAAAATTTATTTTTAAAAGTTGTTCACAGTAATCTGTTACATTTGCTATTCCAACTCCAATCCCATCACCATTACACTTACCCACCACCATATTTCGGATATTTCCACCCTGGTCCTGAAACCCTGTCCCCAAAGCAGGACCCTAAATAATTTATTTTGTATTGCTTGTTATGAATAATTTGCTAAAATGATCTAAAAAAAGTTTCCTTAGAGTGGATTTTATGCCCAATTCAATCAGCCTAATCAGTGGTTGAATAAATAGCAGTACTCCTACATTAAAAAAAAAAAGTTTCCTTAGAGGAAAGTGTGTGACGATTATTGTATCTCACCCTGGAGCCAATAAGCCCTTATATAAGAGATTACCGACATACAAATTGTCATGCGACCGCATCCTAACATTTTGTGTAAGGTTATACAGTGAGATGAATTAATTTATTTTTAACTAGATGGTGACTTTGGGCGTCTGGAGGCATCTCTGTGGCATATCATTCTATGTTGCTTTCTTCCGAGAACTGTATTTATGAGTCTCTGGATCATGGCCGTTAATGAATGAGCTTAGATGGCATCAGAGGCAGTTCCTGGGCATGACTGCCAGGCTACTGGAAGATGCCTGGATGCCTAGATGCCTCTAGGGAGATTGGGGCAGGTCACCCATTCCCAACCGTGCGGGCCTGGAGATTTCAGTCACACGTCCCGCATACCCGGGTTTTTCCTAAGATTCACTCATGCAAGAGGCAGTCTGAGCCTGTGGAGAGCAGCCGTGAGCATGATGGCACTTGAGTTCTGGAGGTTTTCAGCAGGCGGGGCTCAGTTGGGGTGAAGAGGGGAACTCACCCCCCACCTTCCAGGTCATCCAGGATGGAGACAGCCTGGCACGGGGTCTTGGAGGCATTTCTATGGCTTATCATCAAGGGGTCTGAATTTCTTTCCGGGGCTGTGAGAAGCCGCTGGGGGGTGTAGGCTTGGCAGTGACATCATCTGGTTTGTGCTTTGAAAAGATCTTGTTGCTGACCCTGAATGCTGCCTCCTTCCCCACGACGTCCCAGGGCCTGGCCCCTGGTGGGGTGCAGAATGAACTCCAGCGCCTGACTTCCAGTGTCCAGCACTCTCTGTCTCTGTCTGTCTGTCTGTCTGTTTGACACACACACACACCCTCTTCTCTCTCCTCTCGCTCTCTCTTTGCTCTCTCTCGAGAGAAAAGATGGGCAGTGGTGGATTTAGGTCACCCAGCTCCGCACAGACACGCAGCCCTCCCTCAGGCAGCGGAGGGCCTTGAGGACGCCTCCCCTTCCGAGGACCCTATATAGCCACCCCCCTGACCCCGCCCCGCCCTGGACCACACACTGTTCGATGGATGCTGCAGCCCGGGAGGGGGCGGGGTCGGGAGGCGCCCCCTACGCGGATTGGGTGCGACTGCGTCGGGCACCGCGCGATTGGCGGCCCCGGAGGAGGGGCGGAGCCTGGCGCCTGCTGCTGCGCTGTGGGCCGGCGGGTGGGCTGGAATCGCGGCTGGCCGGAGGAAGCTGCTGCCACCCACCGGGGCGATGGCCGAGGGAAACTCGGGACTCCGCCAGGTAGGTGCGGCCCCAGGAGAGGAGAAGCGAGGGGAGGGTGGCGGGCCGGTCAATTCCCGCGTGCCGCGCGGACACACCCCCCCCATCCGAGCTGAGCAGGGCTCTCCAGGGGGCGGGGACCTGCACTGCTGCCCGTGCGGCCGGCCACAGCGCCAAGGCCAGCCCGACCGGCCGGCAGACCCGGGGCATCCTCAGTTTCCTCCCCTGGCAAACGGAGAGGATCATCCAGGCTGTTCTTTCCTCGGGCTCGGGGGAGGCCAGCAGTGTCCACTGCTCCGGACCCTCTCTCTGCCCCAGCCTGGAGGCAGGCGGCAGACACCAGTGGACACGATGGTGAAGGACGGCAGGCACCCCGTGCCCTGCATCTGGGGTGGGGGGGCTGTGCCCATCCTCAGCAGTCAGTCACAGCAGCGGTTGCAAGCCACAAAGCGAAAGCTCCCATTTCCCAGATGAGAGGTGCTGGACAGTTAAGGGACTTCTCGGGTCACCTAGCAGGAGAGACAGTGTTGGGCCAGGTTTGGCTGCAGACCGCAGTCTCTGGCTCCTGAGCGTAACTTTCAACTCTTTGTGGGGAGCTGCCCTCAGGCCCGTGAGGTGGGTACCAGCATATTCTGTCTGGCCGTGGAGGCGACGGAGGCAGAGAGCGATGGGGGGGGGGGAAGAGAGTGGAGTGGGGCTCCCCCCCCAGATCTTCGCCCTTTGGGGCGCTCCTTGCTTCTCATGCCTCCTGCCCACAGGTCCTGGCCCCGTCCTCCCCAGAGGCTGGGGACTTTGTGTCCGTCTGGACTTCCCCCGGCTGCCACCGAAAAAGCCTCCTCTGGTGGCTGCGACACAGGAAGCCGTCCCATGGTCTGCTAGAGATCGGCCCGGACCACGAGCTGCACCAGCTCACAAGCATGATGCAGGCAGGGCTGTGGGCCGCCTCTCAGGCGTCCTTGGAACAGCCCCCCGCAGTAAGTGGCCGTCATGTCCCCTGTGCCGTCTTGCTGATGCAGCCTGGGGGCTGGTGAGGTGGTGTAGTAGGGAAACCAAGGCCAGGCTGGGAAAAGGGCCAAGGGGAAGCCCCTGGTTGGTGGTGCAAGGAAGCCCCACCCACCCTATGTCTCCATGAGGGCTTCTGCCTTTCTGTGGGTCTCAGTATTCCCATCTCTATGATGGGTGGAAAGGATGACACTTCTTGGTCTCTTCTGCCGCTGCTGCCATGTATGGTTGAGAGCCCCCCCCCCCAAAAAAAACAGCCCCCTGCACACCCAGCCCCTCCTCCTGGGACCTGGGGCTGGGGCCAGGCTGGCTCAGCAGGTCAGCCAGCTGCAGCCTCAGCAGTTAGGTGGAGCTGCTGTGCAAGCATTTGTTCTGTGTTGTGTGTGTGTGTGGGGGTGGGTGCGTGTGTGTGTGCACGCACACACGTGGGCACCCCATGACCACTCTCCAGGGGAAGACCACTCCTCCATGGAGGAGCCCAGAGGGCCCTTCTAAGTTGTATTGGGTGCTGGGACCCCACCGCCACCTCCAGGGCTCCCTCATGCTCAGCCTGGCCTCGGGGTCCTGCAGGCTGAACTGGCCCTCTTTCCCGCTGGCTCCTATTGTGGGGCACCCTGCCCCACCCCCCATACTCAGACTTCTGCTGGGAGGCCACCTCCCCGGGAAGCCTGCTCCCATCCTGAGCGTCCCAGGCAAGGCCAAGCCCCTTGCTCGGGGCTGACATCAGCCTCACTTGGGCAATCTGGGGTCTGGATGCCCGGGGTCCGACTGCAACCCAGAGCCAGTGTCAGGGGCCCCATTCTGGATGAGACCCGCCCCGCCCCCCACCCACCCACCAGGACCTGGGAGGACGGGCCGCCCCTCAGCCCAGCTCAGCCACACTTGCCAGAGGAATGGAACCAGGAAAAGGGAAGGTGTGGGGTGTGCAGAGATGGGGGTGCTGCGAGGGGCCTGAGCACTGCCATCCGCCTCCGCAGGGGCCGCCCACCGAGAAGGATTTCTCTGAGGTCCTGACCCAGACTCATAAGGTAGGAGACCCAGACTCGAGCCTCAGAGGTCCTTGCGCTGTCCTCCTGCCTGGGGACACTCTCCGCCTGGTCTGGCAGGAAGGACGGTGAGCCCAAGCCTCCTGTACCCCCACACACAGCTGCGCCCCACAGACACTGGGGGCCTCTTTCCCTCCCCTCCAGGGCTTTGAGCTGGACACACTGGCCGGCCCGGCCTTCGCCTGGCTGCGCCACTCCTTGGGCCTGGCGGAGGAAGACTACCAGGACGCCCTGGGCCCCGGTGGCCCCTACCTGCAGTTTTTCAGCTCTTCCAAGAGCAAGTCCATCTTCTTCCTGTCGTGAGCTGGCAGGGTGGGAGTGGTGGTGGTGGGGGGGGGGGGGTTCTGAGGTGGGAGAGACCCATGCCCGGGAGGATGGGGGAGGGGCGGGGCAGATCCGGGATGGCGAGGCTGCTCCGCCCCGCCTGATTAGGGACCTGTCCCTCCCGCGCCCCCCCACCTCACCTCCCAGCCACGACCGGCGCTTCTTCCTGAAGACCCAGCAGCGCCGGGAGGTGCAGGTGCTGCTCACGCACCTGCCCCGCTACGTGCAGCACCTGCAGAGTCACCCCTATACGCTGCTGGCGCGGCTGCTGGGTACGCCCGGCCCGGCCCGGCCCCAGACTGCGGGGTCGGAGCGGGGGCGGGGCAGAGAGGAGAGAGCGCGCGAAGAGGGGGCGGACCGGATGGAGAGGGGGCAAGGGGACACCCCGGCGAACGAGTGGAGAGCGCTGGCCCGTGGCCAGGGTCGGTGGAGGCGGAGTACAGCGTAGGGGCGTGGCCGCGAGCGCGTGGGCGTGGTCTCGAGCGTGTGGGCGTGGCCTGGAGGGTATCAGTGTGCGCTCTGTGGGCGTGGCCTCCCGAAGACCCGCCCCTCTGCTAGGTGGGCTAAGGCGGGACGTGGATCCCCCGAAAGGAAAGGACCGAGGGCGTGGCCGGGGGGCGGGGGATGCTCCAGGGTTTGCGAGAGGAGGGAGGTGCGGGCTGGAGCGGGGACCCGGGCGGGGGTGGCCTCACCTGGCCCCTTCTCCCCCTGCAGGAGTGCACAGTCTGCGGGTGGCCCAGGGAAAGAAGGTGGGGCGCGGGGCCGGAGGAGGCGGCAGGAGGGGGGTCGCCCCGGCCCCGCCTCCCCTCACCCTCGCCCCCGCCCCCAGGAGTACTTCGTGGTCATGCAGAGCGTCTTCTACCCCGCCGGCCGCCGCCTCCTGGAGCTGTGAGCGGGTCCCACCCGGAATGCGTCAGCCAGGCACCCACTCCCCCCTGCGTTAGATGGGGAAACTAAGGCCCGGGGAGAGAAGGGACACTGGCGAGATGAGATCGCCCGTGGACGGGAGACAGGGACACCGCACCAGCACCTCAGGAGGGGGGCTGCGGAGGGCTGGAGTGATAGCACAGCGGGTAGGGCGTCGGGTAGGGCGTTTGCCTTGCACGCGGCTGACCCGGGTTCGATTCCCAGCATCCCATAGGGTCCGCTGAGCACCGCCGGTGGTAATTCCTGAGCTCAGAGCCCGGAGTAACCCCTGTGCATCGCCGGGTGTGACCCTAAAAGCAAAAAAAGAGGGGGCTGCGTCTGGGAGGGAAAGTGCCGCACCCCAAGCCCCACTGCCTCCCAGACCCCACCCTGCCTGCGAGCTCCCCATTAGTGCTCCCACACACAGGGCCATGGGGTGCGATAGCACAGCGAGGAGGGCATTTGCCTTGCACGTGGCCAGCCTGGGTTCGATCCCTGGCATCCCATACGGTCCCCCAAGCACCGCCAGGAGTAATTCCTGAGTGCAGAGCCAGGAGTAACACCTGGGCATCACCAGGTGTGACCCAACAAGAAAAAAAAAAGTGACTCTCCGGGCCTTTCCTTCACCTCTGACCTAGGGACAGACACAGAGCAGGATGGGCTGAGGACCTGAACGTTGGCCCAGAGGAAGATGGGGTGTTGCTTTGTTTTGTTTTGTTCACGGGGTCAGGGATCAAGCCCAGGGCTCCTACTTGCACTCTTGCCACTGAGCCACATCCCATCTTCTTGTCACTTATTGACCTGATGACTTTCCCTGTGCAGAGGTAAACCCTGTCACCCCTCAGGTATGACATCAAGGGCTGCGAGGTGGACCGGTGGGTGGAACCAGTCTCTGAGGGCGGCTCCATCATGGTGCTGAAGGACCTCAACTTCCAGGGCAAGACCATCCACCTGGGTGAGCCCCCGGGGCAGTGTCTGCCTCCTGCCTCCTGCCGGGGTGCGGCTCAGAAGGGGCTCCCCAACTGAGCCCTTAAGAGTCAAGATTCCAGGGCTGGAGCGGTAGCACAGCGGGTAGGGTGTTTGCCTTGCATGCCGCTGACCTGGGTTCGATTCCCAGCATCCCATATGGTCCCCCAAGTGCCACCAGGAGTAATTCCTGAGTGCATGAACCAGGAGTAATCCCTGTGCATCGCCAGGTATGATCCAAAAAGAAAAAAAAAAAGTCAGGATTCCAGAGCCAGGCAGATCCAGGTTCAAATCCTGACTCCATAATGTACCAGCTGGAACACCAAAGCCCATTGCAGATCTGCCGAGGTGGCTGCAGGTAGACTCCCCAGAGGGTGCCCTCAGAGTGGGGTACTGATGTCCCACAGGGCCCCAGCGGACCTGGCTTCTCTACCAGATGGAACTGGACACGGCCTTCCTCCGGGAGCTAAACGTGATGGACTACAGCCTCCTGCTGGCCTTCCACCAGCACCAGGATGGCGAGAGGCCCCAGGCCGGCAGCCTCCCCCAGACCTCCTCGACCAGGTGGGCCCACCAGGCAGGAGGGCAGCAGCCGGGATACGGGTCTGGGAAACGTGGCGGACGGAGTCCAGAGACCAGCGCTGTGTGGATGGATGGATGGATGGATGGATGTGTGTGCATCTGCACATACTCGTGTGTGGTACCTGTGAGCCTGTATTCACATGTATGTGAGTGTCCACATCTGACACATGTGGACACCTCCATGCATGCATATGTAGTTTGTGTGTGCCCCTATGGGTACATGTGTGTCTCTCTGCAGATAGATGTGCACATGTATCTGTCTTCATGTGTGCTTGCACTTGTGTCTGTATGCACAAGTGTGTGTACATGTCTCTGTGTACCTGTGGGGGGTGTGCAAGGTGCATAAGTGTGCACATGTGTATTTGTGTCATGTGTCACGGGAGAACAGGCACGTGCATGTGTGTGCACAGGTGTGTCTGTCATGTGGAGTGGGCGCACAGGCACATGCGTGCATGCAGGGCAGGGAGTGGGAAGTCTGCCACACGGGCACCGGCCCCAGGGCCAAGCAGGGGAAGGATCAGCCGGATTAGGGCTTCGGGGTGAGCTGAGAATCTGGCCGTGTTCAGGAGCAGACCAGAGCCACGCAGGCTGCAGGCAGGACTGGAGCCCCGGCCCTAGACACTGGAGCCCCGTCTCGGGCCCTGAGTCATCCCGGCGCCTTTGGCAGGTGCTCCCCTCCCTGGCAGCGGCTCTCACTGCCTACAGGCTGGCCAGGGGCCTGACCTGGGGCAGCGGCTCCTACTCATCTTTAAATTTTACTTCACGGGGCTGGAGTGATAGCACAGCAGGTAGGCCGACCCAGGTTCGATTCCCAGCATCCCATATGGTCCCCTGAGCACCGCCAGGAGTAATTCCTGAGTGCAGAGCCAGGAGTAACCCCTGTGCATCATCAGGTGTGACCCAAAATAAACAAATAAATACATTTTACTTCACTTGGACGGTCTCCCAAGTGGCGCTGAAGATGCCAAGGGTTTCCCCCGGCTGGTCTCAGCCCTCTCGGCAGGCGCTTGAGTCCAACTTTGTGTCGCCAGTCAGCCCTGTCAGTCCAGGGACAGCTCAGGCCACCCTGTCGATGCTCAGAAACCTCCAAGGCTGCAAGCGGTGATGCTCCGGGAGCCACATGGTGTCAGGCGAGCACCCTGCACTCTCCTTTGGGCTCCTACCCATTTTATGGATGAGAAAGTAGAGGCTCAGAGAGGTGAAGTGACTTTGCGGAATGACTTCTGGGATTCCTGTCAGCACTTGGTCACTTGGATCCCAGCCTTCCAGGGCCCACCTCCACGGTTGCAGTTACCCAAGGGGTTAAGATGGGCACTTGAAGGAGAAGAGCCCATTGATGCCCTGGGCAGACAAGTGGAGAGAGAGAGCTAGCCGCCGCGAGGGGCTGTGCCCGACGTGGCCCGGTGATCCTGGTAATTGCTAGCATCTCAGGGCCCACCGCGTTCTGGGGCTCTCACAGTGAACTGCCTCCCTGGTGGGCTTGGCCCACCAAAAAAGTGACAACATTCCTCAGGCTGTGTCCTTGGAATGTGGCACTGCCCCTAACCACTCGCTAGTCTGGGCACATCCTGACCACGGTGGAGGGTAGAAAGTCTGGCGCGGAATACAGTCCCCCAATCTGTCCCTTTAAATTCGGTCAACCTCTCTTTAACCTCACCCCCAGCTGGCATTAGGCCCTTTTTGGGATGTTGTGCCAAGAAGTCACTGTGTCCTGGCACAATGTCCCAGAAAGGTCTAAATTGGCATGTAATGGCTGTCCTGTAGAAGCGTTGCCATGCTGACCAGTGCTGCCAGCCTACTTCGTCTCAGCCGCCCTCCTCCCGGTTCCCAGCCCCTTCGTATTATCCAGGTTAACAGGGACAGACGGACACCTCTGAGGGTGCCAGTGCCCGGCACACAGACTCAGGCCACCGGACTTCGATTGGCTGGTGCTTTGGCGTGGCCTGTCTCTGACTGGCTTATTTCCAAGATTCCATTTCCAGGAAAAGGGAAGTTAAACCTGCTTCTGGCTGGGGGAGGGCCCAGCCCAGCTCACCGTCTGATTCAGAATTCAGTTTGAGGGGGCTGGAGCAATAGCACAGCGGGTAGGGCGCTTGCCTTGCACGCAGCCGACCTGGGTTCGACTCCCAGCATCCCATATGGTCCCCTGAGTACTGCCAGGAGTAATCCCTGAGTGCACAAGCCAGGAGTAACTCTTGTGCATCACCAGGTGTGACCCAAAAATTAAAAAAAAAAAAGAATTCAGTTTGACCCTTGGCACTGCGTACGGTTTCCAGAGTACTGCCAGGAGTGATCCCTGAGCACAGAGCCAGGAGTACCTCCTAAGTACCATTAGGTGTGGCCCCAAAAACCCAAAAGAAAAAAAGAGAAGAACCATGATAGAGCCAAATCTCTAACCCAGATGCTTTATCCACACAAGTAATTATACATTGCGTACTCGTCTCAATGAAAGCAGTGCCAAGAGACTAAAGAGATAATCACTGTCCTGTCACTGTCCTGTTGTTCATCGATTTGCTCGAGCGGGCCCAGTAACATTGTGAAACTTGTTACTGTGCTTGGGAAATCAAATACGTCATGGGTAGCTTGCCAGGCTTTGCCGTGTGGGCGAGATACTCTCGGTAGCTTGCCGGGCTCTCCGAGAGGGGTGGAGGAATCGAACCCGGGTCAGCTGCATGTGAGGCAAACGCCCTACCGCTGTGCCATCGCTCCAGCCCAGAGCGATAATACAGGGGTGAAAGGGGTACTGCCTAGGGTTCCCCCCAGCACCGCCAGAAGTGAACCCTGAGCTCTGCTGCCCTTCCTACCCCCATAGAAAAAAATAACAAGGAACAGGTAAAAAAAGAAAAAATGTTAACACTGTATTGCAGTGTAGGGTCTGCATCTCGGAACAAAACTGATGAGCGATTTCACGTTTTTTCATACTGTCTGGAAAAGTCAGTGGCCATCCAGCGGGCCACACTGTGAAGGGTCCAGTGGTCACCGGGGACTTACGGCTTTAGGTTGGTTGTGGGTCTGACACCAACCCTCGGGGCCTGGTCCCACTTGCAGGGTCCAATCATGGGGGTCTTCCTGGAGAAGGGGCTAGTCTCACCCTCTTGTTGCCCCCCCCCAGATTTGTGCAAGGGACACAGAACCTGGAGGAGGTGGCAGCGCAGAATTACCATTTGCTCTCCGGTCGCCCCCACGCCCCCAACATTTTGGACGGGCCGGAGCAACGCTACTTCCTGGGCCTAGTGGATCTTGCCACTGTGTACGGGCTCCGCAGGCGGCTGGAGTATCTATGGAAGTTGCTGTGGTACTCGGGACGGAATTTCTCCACCGTCAATCCCACTCGCTATGCCCGTCGTCTCTGCCAGTGGGTGGAGGCGCACTCGGACTGATCCCAGCCCCTCTCAGTTCTCCGCGTCGGGACAATGGGCGCGCGCAGACTCCAGACTGCAGTTCCTGGCTCCGGCCTCCAGAGAGCAGCGCCCGCCAACGAACACCAGCAACACGGCCAAGCTTGCGGATGACGCTATGCTGGGCACGATGCCAGCCTCCTTTACATGAGCTCATTTTATGCTCCGGGAAATGCTCTTATTCTCTTTTCCAGGCAATGAAATGGAAGTTCAGGGGGTGAACGGACTGAGTGCCATCGATCAGCAATAAATGCTGGAACCAGGGCCCAAACTTCACCTTTTATTATGATTATGATTATGATTATTTGCATTCTGGGTCACACCCAGCGATGCTCAGGGGTTACTCCTGGCTCTGAACTCAGGAATTACTCCTGGTGGTGCTGGGGGCACCATATGGGATGCCGGGAATCGAACCCGGGTTGGCCGCGTGCAAGGCAAACGCCCTACCCTATACTATTGCTCGGGGCCCCAAACTTCACCTTTTACATCAAGCCTAGATCTCACCCATTCTGCCGGCTGGCCCTGACTTGAGGCTCTGGGGGTGGGGGAGGCTGAAGACTCCAGGCCCTCTTATCATTCAGACGGGGAAACTAAGGACCAGAGACGTTAAGAGGTGCCCAGCCCCTCACTCACACAGGCCCCATTGGCCTAATTTTTGCCTCCCACATTTTTGCTCTTGTAGGGATGCAAATGGGAGAATGGGGGGGAGCACTGAGGAGTCTGCAGGCCTGGGAGGCCATAGGTTGGGGTCCACTACTGAGTAAGCTCTGTCCTCATTGGCCATCACTTTACCCATCAGTGAAGTGGCCAGGAGCAGAGAGCAAAGTGCTTCTAGGCTCTTGGTCACTCCTTCTCCCGGGAAGTCCAGCTGACCTCTGAGCCCAGCAAGGGTCAGGCTGGGCTGGGTGACCCGGGCAAGGTGCTGATCCTCTCTGGGCCTCAGCGGTCTGCGCTGTAACACGGTCAGGATGAAAGCGAACCTTGTTCACTCATTTAATATTGATTGGGCAGCTGCTCTGGGGGCAGGGCTGCCTGGCGGGGACCTGGGCAGGGGCACGGAGCACCGACGTTGCCGCCCAGCGCCCTTTAGGGGGAGACGGCGGCAGAGGTGGCCTGGCCCACGCAAGCCTGGAGGAGATTGGGGCCCGTGTAAATCCCTGGTGATTTGCTTTGGGAGGGGACCGTGGCCTTCCAGTGGAGACCCGAGGCACTGGGCACCCTCCTGGAGCAGAGGTTTCTGAATAAAACGTCCTGCGGTTGGGCATTTGCCCTGCATGTGCCTGGCCTGGGTTCGATCCCTGGCACCCCATACATTTCCCTAAGAACCACCAGGAGTGATACCTAAGTATAGACCCAGGAGTAAGCCCTTAGCACACTGGGTTTACCCGCTCCTGGCAAAGAAACACATAAAATAAAGCAGTGCGGGGGGTGGAGAGATAGTACAGGGATTGAGGCATTTGCTTTGCATGCAGCCAATCCCAGTTCAATCCTCAGCACCAGCACTGTAGGGTCCCCCTGAACACTGCAGGAGGGACCCCTATGCGCAGAGCCAAGAGCAAGCCCTGAGCACAGCTAGGGGTGGCCCAAACACCTCCTCGCGATAAAATAAGGCAGTCTGGCACTTGGGAGGAAGAAACGTCACAGGACCCCTATGCAGTTCAGATGGGCACAGTCGCCTTTGCATGTGTGAGGCCCTGGGTTTGATTCCCCCACACCAACACCAACACAACAGCCCACATTGCACATGGCGGGGGCTGGAGCGATAGCACAGCAGTTAGGACATTTGCCTTGCACACGGCCGACCCAGGTTCGATTTCCAGCATCCCATATGGTCCACCGAGCACTGCCAGGAGTAATTCCTGAGTGCATGAGCCAGGAATAACCCCTGTGCAATGCCGAGTGTGACCCAGAAAGCAAAAAAAAAGAAAGAAAGAAAGAAAAAAGAAAGAAAGAAAGAAAGAGAAAATCACATTGCATATGGCTGGTGCTGAGACAAGGAGGGGCACATGGTGGTTGGGGGAGCCATGTGGACCCCAGCACGGGACGCTGGGAGTCCGTGGGAAAGCAGCTTAGCTGTACACAATACTCAAGTCCTGTTGACCCCCAGGGAAAATGAATACCCTTGGCTGGGAGGCGGCTAGAAAACAGGGGTACTTGTGCTACAGGACTGGACAGTGGCTTTGGGAATGGGGGTGGGGGTTACCATGAAGGAGAGGGAGGTAGAGACGTCGTGGGGACGAGGCTCAAGGCAAAGGCAGGAACATCATGCCTGTATGCAGAGTCTCTGGTTCAAGCCCCAGCCCCGCATGGTTCCCCAAATACTGACCAGGATTAACCCCCGATACCATCAGGTGTGACCACCCCAAAGAACAGAACAGGGGCTGGAGCAATAGCACAGCGAGTAGGGTGTTTGCCTTGCATGCAGTCGACCTGGGTTCGATTCCCAGCATCCCATATAGTCCCCCGAGCACCGCTAGGCACAGGAGGAATCCCTGAGCCTTGCCGGGTGTGACCCAAAAACATTTAAAAAAAAAAGAATAGGGGCTGGAGCAATAGCACAGCGGGTTGGGCGTTTGCCTCGCACACAGCTGACCCAGGTTCAATTCCCAGCATCCCATAGGGCCCCCTGAGTACCGCCAGGAGTGATTCCTGAGTGCAGAGCCAGGAATAACCCCTGAGCATCGCCGGGTGTGACCCAAAAAGAAAAAGTCAAAGATGCAGACATAGATTTAGTTTTTCTATCCCCCAGGCTGGCTCAGGGTCCTGGGTTGGTGACTCAAGTTCTCGCGGTGGCCTGAGCCCAACCGCAGAGAATTTCTCACCGTGGCTCACAGGAAGTTGAGATAGTCGTTGAGTTCAGCGTGTCACCAAGGAAGAGGTATGTGGCGGGAACCCCACAGGGCTCGGGGTCGGCCCCATCTCCTGAAGGCTGGGCTGGATTGGGCTGCATCAGAACCAGAGTCCAGCCTGGAAAACAGGTGACTTGGTTCTGCGCCGGGGTAGCAGAGAGAAAATGTAGCAGAGAGGACAGTCCTTGGGGCTTGGGATGTTAGGATCCCCCGGCCACTCACACAGCACATCCCGTCATTGGGCCGGGGTGGGGGGTGAGCAGCCTTCTGGGAAAAGTCAGGGTAAGATGAGAGGGATTGGATGTCCCCCAGGGTTGACCTTTGAGCAGAAGGACAGCAGAAAGTTAAGTGACAGCTGTCCCCTCTGATCCAGTAACTTATTCATGGTCAAAAAGGAGAGATGAGTTGGGGGGGGGAGGGGGACTTGGCTGGAGAGATGCTGATGAAGGAGCAGTTAGGGTAAGGCCCCCCACTGGTACCCCACCAAGAGGCAGGCATCCGGTGCAGAGTGGGGTTCTATTCATAGCAAGCTGCCTCAGAGCCTCAGGGCTGCTGCAGAACCTGTGGACAGACAGCTGCTTTCGCTCTGGGGCCTGAGATAAGGGCTCTGGTGGGGGGAGGGGGAGGAACTTGTCACCCTCATCCCTGGAGGGAGAGGGTAACTGAATCCCAAGAGGAAAACACACCCACAGGCCCCTGGGGAGGAGGAGAGGAATGACTGCAGGGAGGCCCCGAGATATAGTACAGCAGGTGCGGCATTTGCCTTCAACTTGGTCAACCCAGGTTCAATCCCCGGCACCCCATATGGTCCCTCAAGCACCATCTGGAGTGATGACTGAGCGCAGAGCCAGGAGTAAGTGCTGAGCGTTGCCGGGTATGGCCCCCAGCAAAAGCAAAAACAAACCAAAACCTGGAGAGGCCAGAAGGGTTCTGGTTTGGGGGAGCCACGGTGTGAATGAGGGGCCACAGAGAGGGGTTGAACTTGGACCACAACCCTTGAGATACATGCGCCCAAGCGGGGTGGGTTGTGTTGCAGGGTCTGGCTGCCGGGTCCTGAGCTGGAGAACGCCCCGATGTCTAGAGCCACAAGGGACACTTGGCTTTGGACTTGGGGCAGGCGCGCGCGTGCGTGTGTGCGTGTGTGTGTGTGTGTGTGTGTGTGTGTGTGTGTGTGTAGGTACCGTGAAGCTTAGCTTGCAGACACAGGAGCTTCCCAGGCCTTGAAGAAATGAACATAGAGCTGAGGGTGAGGCAGAGCAGGAACCCAGACTGGTGCCCAGCCCCCAGCCCCGCAGAGGGGATGGCTGTGAGCCCCGCGTTTCCGAACAGACCGTGCCAGATGGGAAGGATGCGAGCGCCACACTTTCCCAGCCGTGGCTCCCTGCTGCCTTCTCTCCGCCCCCCCCCCCCCCGACTTCTTCTGGCCCCAGAACACCCCTGAGCCAGAACTCTCCCAGATTCAGCTAGGAGATATTTCAAACCTCTGGGGCCCTGGACGGAGCTGGCTGGGATTTGGATGACGCTGCAGGTGTGGGGGGGCAGGTTGTGGCTCTGGAAAGATCCATCCCAGAGCTCACATCCCAGCCTTCCTGGAGCAGCATGTGCTCTGTCATCGGGAGGAAGGCGCTGCTATTCCCAGATGGGAAATACATTTTATTTTCCAGATGGAAAAAAACAAGGCTCAGGTGGAGGTCACATGCGGGGAAGGAGAGTTGCCAGAGGAAGGAAAAAAATACCCAGTGACATTGGCGTATTGGGGGCCAGAGAGACAGGACAGTGGGGAAGGTGCTTTCCTTGCTTACAGCTGGCCTGGGTTCTGTCCCTGGTCCCCGCTGTGGTCCCCCAAAACAAAGCCAGGAGTAATCCCTATGCACAGAGCCAGGAGTAAGAGCCACCATAGCCAGATGTGGTCCCCCAAGACAAAATAAAATAAAAACAAATAGACATAGGGGCAGGAGTGATAGTCTTTGCATGCAGCAGACCCAAAGTAGCAGACCCGGGTTCAATCCCCGGCATCCCATATAGTCCCCTGAGCACCGCCAGTAGTGATTCCCGAGTGCAGAGCCAGGAGTAATCCCTGAGCATCGCCGGGTGTGAGCAAAATAAATAAATAAATGGGCATAGCATAAGGCTGCTGGTGCTCACTGTTTTCCATGTGAGAAACCAGAATCCATGAGAGCTCGGGAGTAGCCCCTGAGCACGGATGGGTGTGACCCCAAAAGAAAACAAAACTGAAATGCCGACAGAACTGGGCATCTGGTATTTTTTCACTTGCTAAATCTGGCAACTGTACCAGCTTGGTACTAGGTAGGGCGCCCATTTCCTTCCTCTTCCCTTCCTTCAACTTTAGAAAGGGAAGAATGGCAAATCCGGAACGCCAGGCAGCCAGGACGGCTGCAACACCCCAAGCCCCAGCAAAAAACCTAGGGAGAAATAACGGTGGGTGGAAGGGGAGAGACACCGCAACTCAGACTCCGCCCCCGGAGCCTTAGGCCCGCCCCCACCCGGCTTCGCGGCCAACCACGCGCGGCCCGTACCGGCGGCGCCCGCCCCATCGTAGCCCCGCCCCTCCAGGCCCCGCCCCCGCCGCGGGCTCCTCCCGGCCCCGCCCCCGCCGCCCGCCCCGCACTTTCGGCTTCCAGAAAGCAGCGGCCGCTGCGCCGCCTCCGCCCGGGGCTGCGTCCTCCTGCTCGACCCGCTGGCCATGGAGCTTCGAGCAGCGGATCGCATGCAGTCGGCGCGGCCCGGCCTCTCCTCCCGGTGAGAGGCCGCCGGCCCGCGGAGGGGCGAGGGGGCTGGGAGAGGGGAGGCAGTGCTCGCGCTGCTAGCTCGCCCCAGGCCTCCCCTTTCGCCTGCTGATCGTGTGTCTGCGGGATGGGGTGGCGGAGTCGAGGCTCCGGCTCCCGGTTCTGGCAGACCCAGACCCGATGCGTGACCTTGAGCCGAGGGCTCCCCGCCCCTTCCTCTTTTCCCCCCACGGGGCACCGTGGGGATGGGCTGGCCGGACGTCTCCTGCGGGAGGTCCCCGATCACCCCCTTTCCAGTTCCCCATGGCACTAACAGGTGTTTGGGAGCTTGCGGGCGCTTGGATTCTCCAAGACCTCATCTCCTTTGATGCCGGGGGTCGAGTCTGCTGCTTCAGCTTCCCGAGGCGGTGTCCTCCCAGGCCTGGCCCCCCCACCCTTCTGAATTTCTGGTGCTTGGCAGGTACCCAGCTCCGACCCTGGCCCAGCCCCAGCCGTGGAGACAGCAGCCTCCCGAGTGCTGAGAGCAGAAGCAGCATGAAGGCCTGGGTAAGTCCCGGGAGGGAGGGAGGGAGGAAGGAAGTGGCTAGAGAAAGGGGGCACCGAGGCGGGCTTTGGGTTTCCTAGACCGGGCGCGACCCGGGGCACCCTCAACCCCTCGCCCTGCCCAGCAAGTCCAGAGCTCATGTGTCGGGCAGGTGGCTGTCCTCTCTGTCATGCCTTTGCCCCGCTCCCCCTAAAATGGAGAGCTGTCCCCTCCTGGAGCATTTGCAGACGACCAGATGAGACCCCCCCCTTCTCCCTGCCCCCCCACACACACACACCAGGAGTGGGACCACCCAAGGCCAAGTTAAATGCTGCTGCTGTTGGCTTGATCCTGCAGCCCCTTGGCTTAGAGGAAGAGGCCTGGATGTGAGTAGAAGTTGGGCCGGAGGGACCCAGTCTGTCCCCCTGCAGGAGCCCAGGACCTGGGGTGCCTCTGGGGCTGAGGGGGGGGACGGGATCAGGTATCAGTTGCAGCCTGAGACCTCAGGGGCCGAACCCTGCCTCCCACACAGCTGGCCATTAAGAGATTTATTTTTAGAATCTGATGTGCCTTGTGGGCACAAAGGGTGGGTCTGGCAGGATGTGCGGAGGGGGGTGCCTGCCTCCTGCCTCTGCTCTTGGGGCTGTTTAGAGTTTCTCAGCCACCCCACACCGGCCTGCCCTGCCCGGGAGAAGCCCAGCTGGAGAGACAGATGGCCTGAAGTGACCCCGTGCACGCTGCTTCGCCCTCCAGGCAGCCCCTCCTGAGGGCCTGGCGAAAGGTTTTTCATGACTGCCCGTGGCCCAGCCAGTGATCTGGAAGGTTCCCTGCTCCAAACCGGGATTGTGGAGCTTTCAAGGATCCAAGCTGGGTCTTCAAGGACATCCCCACCCCTCCCCGCCCACCGGCCTCTCTACTCTTGGGCGACTGACCCACATTTGACCTATACTGGTCAGCCGCTCCGAGCTGGCCCTGAGTCAGTAGTGGGGGGGGGGGGATGCTAAGAGAGCTGACAACCCCTCTTCGAACCCTGGAGCTCCTGAACTGGGGGTTGCAAGCTGAGGATGAGGTGCAGCCTTGGGGCAGAAGCTTCTTGGAACTCCGGGGCCTCCTTGGTGCTATCACCCCTCCCCCCCCAGAGTCGGCTCCTGCTGGTCATCCTGTGTTCTGTGGGCTTCTCCGCCGCCTGCTTCCTGCTCTGCTGCTGGGCCTGCCTGCCCGTCTGCCTGGCCTCCTGCCTGGACCCCCGGCTCGCTCCCCAGGCCAGGCCCACCGTGCCGGGACCCTTGCACTTTAATGGCTACAGTAGCGTCCCCGATGGGAAGGTGAGTGGACAGGGTGATAAGTGGGGGTGGGCAAGACACAGACAGCCAGGGGGCCTCCACAGCTTCCTGGGAGACAAAGAAAAGTGGGCTTGGGCCAGACAGAAAGTACCGGGTGGGGGGCTAAGGTGCTTGCCTTGCACTGCGGCCCTGGTTTGATCCCAGAGCACTGCCCGGGTTTCCTCCTGAGCACTGAGCTAGGAATAGTTCTTGAGCTGTTTGAGTTTTTTGTGTGTGTGTGGCCCAGACTGTCTCCCAAAAAAAAATGGGCTCATGAAATAAAAACTGGGCCAAGCTGGGCCCTGAGCTTAACTTCTCTTCCCACGAGCTCTGTGGCACTAGGCCTGTTCTTTCCAGCTCTACGAGGAAATGGGTTTTTTTGATTCAACAAGCATTTCCGGGCTAAGTGAGGGGGTGCCTGCCCCCGGCCCCTGAGGGGAGATTCATCATCAGGGCCTAGTCAGACATGTGAACTGGGCATCTCTTGCTCCCACTTGTACCATGTATCCCAGGGAAATGTCCACCTTACGGTGAAGCCTTGCGGTGGAGGCTTGGCAGGTCGACACGTGGACAGAGCAGGAGCTGATGGAGAAACAGCCGGGGTGGGGCAGCGATAATCGCTGGGCCCTCTGCTTGTCCCGTCTTCCAGGGCAGTGGCTCCTGTTCATTTCAGACCCTCAGCTCATGGGGGCCCAGTGTGGCCACATCCTCTGGGGCATTGAAGAGCAGCTGAGAGGCTGGAGCGGTAGTATAGCAGATAGGGTGCTGGCCTGGTACACGGCTGACCCGGGTTCGATCCCCGGCATCCCATAGGGTCCCCCCTAGAGCACCAACAGGAGTAATTCCTGAGTTCAGAGCCAGGATTAACTCCTGAGCATCACCAGGTGTGACCCCCCCGCCCCATCCCCCAAAAAAAGATATTAGATAGTGAGGACAGGCCGGAGTGATAGTATAGCAGGGAGGGCGTTTGCCTTGTACACAGCCGACCCGGGTTTGATCCCCGGCATCCCATATGGTCCCCAGGAGTAATTCTGAGTGCAGAGCCAGGAGTAACTCCTGAATAACTCTGCTGGGTATGGCTGGCCTCCTAACCCCCAGACCACCCACACACACACACACACACAGAAGCTGAAATCCAAGTCAACATCAAGAGGACTGCTTTTTACAAATTAGGGAAGAATTACACCCGGTCTCTGCCAGCAGTATTCAAAGTGCTTTATAAATATTTGCTCAGCTAACCTGAATGAGGGGCCCATGATGGGGACTGGAAGGGCCTCCGTCATAAGATCAGGACAAAAGGCTGCTGAGGGAGGCCAGAGAGATAGTACAGGGGTTCAGGCACTTGCCTTGCATGTAGCCGACCCCATTCTATCCTGGTTCAATTTCTGGCACCACATACGGTCGCTTGAGTACCGCCAGGACTCACTCCTGAGAACAGAGCCAGGAAAAGGCCTTGAGCACTGCCAGGTGCAGCCAGAAAACAAAACAAGAAAGCGGCCGAAAGAGGCCAGAAAGATCGACCGGCTGGTCAGGCACTTGCCTTGCAAGCAGCTGACCCTATGGCGGATCACTGGGACCACACAGGGTTCTTTGAGCTCAGTCAAGATTTTGCACTGAGTACTAGGGCTGGTGCTCCCTCAGCGAAAGAAAAAAGGGGAGGGGGGGCCCGGGAAGGCTGCTGAGGAGGAAGCTTGGGGTTCTGCATCCAAGCTCTTAGCTGTGCCACCTGCTGTCACTGTGACCTTGGCTAAGTTTCCTTAGTTCGCGCTTCTGCAAGAGGCAAAGAACCTGGCGCCAATAACGGGGTCCGAGGAGGTCGGCAGGCATTCCTGGGTGGCGGTGCAGCAGGAGGAAGCCGTGTGCCCACGCGCCCGTCCATCTCTCTCTCTCTCTCTCTCTCTCTCTCCCCCCCCCCCCCCACCTGCAGCCGCTGGCCTGGGAGCTGTGCCGCAGCTGCGCCGTGGTGTCCAGCTCCGGGCAGATGCTGGGCTCGGGCCTGGGCGCCGAGATCGACCGCGCCGAGTGCGTGCTTCGCATGAACCAGGCGCCCACCGTGGGTTTCGAGGCAGACGTGGGCCAGCGCAGCACCCTGCGCGTCGTCTCGCACACGAGCGTGCCCCTGCTGCTGCGCAACTACTCGTACTATTTCCAGCAGGCCCGGGACACCATCTACGTGGTGTGGGGCCAGGGCCGGCACATGGACCGGACCCTGGGCGGCCGCACCTACCGCACGCTGCTGCAGCTCACGCAGATGTACCCGGGCCTGCAGGTGTACACCTTCACTGAGCGCATGATGGCCTACTGCGACCAGGTCTTCCAGGACGAGACGGGCAAGAACCGGTGAGTGGGCACGCCTGCTCCAGACCCCGCCCCTCCGGGCAGGACTCCGCCCCTTGCGCGAAACCCCGCCCCTTGCGCGAAACCCCGCCCTCCAGGCGAGACTCCGCCCCTCCCAATAAGGCTCCACCCTTTCACTGAGATTCCTCCCTTCCCGACCAGGACACCCACCGGACACCGCACCCTCCAGACTGGGCGGAGGCGTTGGTGGCCCTGCCCTTCCCGGGGTACGGGAATCACTGGCACTGCCATCCTTAGGGCAGGGTGGGGTGGAGCACCGCCTCAGGTGGTAAAGATCCAGAACAGTAGGGGACTGGGGATAGATAACACTTGGAGGAGACAGCCCCTGCAGGGGTGGGACCTGATTTATCTCTGAGAGCGGGAAAGTTCCTGCTAGATAAGGAGGGCAATAAAAGTAACTAACAGTTGCATAAAGACCTCCTTTTGGTCGGGTACAAAACACCTTTTCACTTCCTTCTCCTCCCGCCTACTCTTCCTTTTTGCACCAGGCTGTCTCTCTCTTCCGTCTTCCACCCCTTCACCCCCCCTCCCTTCTCCTTTACCCATTATTATTTTTATTTTTTTGGTTTGGTTTTGGGTCACACCCGGAGGAGCTCAGGGGATTACTCCTAGCTCTGCACACAGGAGTCACTCCTGGAGGGCTCCAGGGGACCCTCTGGGGTGCAATGGATTGAACCCTGGTCTGCCACATGCAAGGCAATGCCCTGACCATTGTATTTCCACTTCCTCTTTCTCCCTCATTTCTTTCTTTTTTGGGTCTTACCCGGCGATGCTCAGGGGTTACTCCTGGCTCTGCACTCAGGAATTACTCCTGGTAGTACTCAGGGGACCGTATGGGAAGCCGGGGATCGAGCCTGGGTCAGCTGTGTGCAAGGGAAATGCCCTACCTGCTATACTATTGCTCCGGCCCCTCCCTCCCTCATTTCTTCCTCCTCCTCCTCCTCCTCCTCCTCCTCCTCCTCTCCTTTCTCACCCTCTTCTCTGAAGAGAAAGAAAGAGAGCCCTCAACTTGGACTTCCCGCATTCCGTCACCTGCACACACAGTCTCCTGTTTCTCCTCCTGGCCCATGATGTGACTACCACCCCCTGCCTTGCAAAACTTGGTCTCCCCACTGCCTCTCAGGCTCTCTGGAATCTGAGGGTAGCCACTGGTGACTGTACCTCTCAGCTGGGCCTCCCATCAATGGCCCCCTTCACAGAGCCAAGTGTCCTCTAGCTGGTCTGTCACTGCATAAGGCCCGCCTCCCCCACCCCAAGGCCTTTGAAAGTACTGTGGCTTCTGTCTGCTGACCATCAGCCCCAGTTCCCCATGACCTTGCCCTTTAAGTCTGGATGGAATGTCACCCTGCTAATTTCTCCCCATCTTCTCAGAGGTGGCCTCCACTTGGGGTGCCAGCACTTGTGGGTGCCAGGCTCCCGGCCAGCCCAGGCTGGAGGTGTTCCACATAAATGAGCCAGCCCAAGACCTCCTGGGGGAGAGGCCAGGAGGTCCCCAGCTGGGAAGGGCCTCATGCAGCTTGTTGAGGGAATCACGGTCTGGCTCCAAGTTGCAGGTGACTGACCTGACTGTCCCCCTTGCCTTCCAGGAGGCAATCCGGGTCCTTCCTCAGCACCGGCTGGTTCACCATGATCCTGGCCCTGGAGCTGTGTGAGGAGATCGTGGTGTATGGGATGGTCAGCGACAGCTACTGCAGGTCAGTTGGTGCGCGTGCGCCGGAGGAGCTGTGGGTCTAGCGGGAAAGGATGGGCTCGGGGGTTTGGCCAGGCACCCTACCTGGGTGGCAGGAATAACACGTGAGGGGCTGACTGCACTGTGGCCAGTTTTTTTTGTTTTTTTTTTGTTTGTTTGTTTTGGCTTTTTGGGACTGGAGCGATAGCACAGCGGTAGGGTGTTTGCTTTGCACGCAGCCAGCCCGGCCAAGCCGGGTTCGATTCCTCCGCTCCTCTCGGAAAGCCCGAAAAGTTACCAAGAGTATTTTGCCCGCACAGCAAAGCCTGGCTAGCTCCCCATAACGTATTCGATATGCCAAACACAGTAACAACAAGTCTCAAAATGGAGACGTTACTGGGCCTGCTCAAGCAAATCAATGAACAACGGGAGGACAGTGCTACAGTGCAGTGGGTCACACCCGGTGATGCACAGGGGTTACTCCTGGCTCATGCACTCAGGAATTACCCCCGGCGGTGCTCAGGGGACCATATGGGATGCTGGGAATCGAACCCGGGTCAGCTGCGTGCAAGGCAAACGCCCTACCTGCTGTGCTATCGCTCCAGCCCCATGGTGGCCAGTTCTCGTGGTGGGGGTCGCCCTGTGCTGGGTGTGGGGCGCAGGGCCTAGCACCTCCCAGCTTTACAGGTGGGTTCTGGGTCACAGTCAGCGCCAGCTTGTGCCAGGCAGCGTCCAGGTTTCAACCCCAGACTTTGGGATCTGAGGGATCCCCCGACCCCCACTTCTCCCCGCCTCCTCAGGACCAGGCCTGAATGCCAGGGGTCTGCGGGGACCGACCGGCGAGGAGGGGCGGGATTGGCAGAGGGTGGGCGAGTGCGAGGACCACACCTGTCCCTGTCCTTGCAGAGAGAAAGGCCATCGCTCTGTGCCCTACCACTACTTCGAGAAGGGCCGGCTGGACGAGTGCCAGATGTACCTGGCGCACGAGCGGGCCCCGCGGAGTGCCCACCGCTTCCTCACCGAGAAGGCCGTGTTCTCCCGCTGGGCCAAGCAGCGGCCCATCGTCTTCGCCCACCCGTCCTGGGAAGCGGAGTAGCTGGGAGTAGCTGCTGGTACTCTGGCTTTGGCCACGCCCACGTCAGACCACGCCCACCTGGACACGCCCCCACCAGGCCACGCCCCCTCTGGCAAAGGGCCTGCCTAGGCCATACCCCTGACCTGACCTCACTCTACTAGAACATTCCCAGAGGGATCCGCTACCCCAGGGCACTCTGGCTCCCTTCCTGCCAGCTGGAGGCCAGCAGCCCCTCTGTGCCTCCAGACTTGGGGATGAACAGGAGGAGGAGGGTCATGTGATTTCGGCACACCCCCCCCACCTCTGCTTTTCTGGAATCATCTGGATGATGTGTAAGGGTTCAGGCCTTGGGGGGGGTGGTGTCTGTGCAGTGGCTTTTGCCCCAGGGCGGGTTGCGCCCCTACTCACCAGCATCATGATCTTGGACCTTGGGCCAGCCCTAGGACTCGTTCTCCAGTGCTCCTCTGCCTGCCTTTGGTGCCACCCTTTCCTAGCCGGCTGCCCAGAAACGGGTTCGTTGGTTGAAGGGGACTTTCAGCTGTGACTCAGGGTTCGGGGGGAGGCGGTAAATGAATGTTTTCTTGATGCTTGTCTCCAGTGTGGTCTGGGGTAGAGGTTGGGGCACCATCCCCTCACGTACAGCTCCAGCACAAAAACCTTTCCGCTATACGGGCCTGAGTTCCTGGATCCCTCCTCCAACCCAGGCAGACTGGATTTCCTGCCTGGATTCTGCCTGCACCTCCAGAAGCCTCGCCCCCATCCCCCACTCCCCACCACCCTCATCGTGCTGGGACACCTCTCCAAGAACTTGGTCCAGGACTTGCCCTCCCCCAGAGGCATTGAGACCTCCTACCCCTCACCCTGTGGGAGGAAAAGCCCTCGACTTGAGAGGAATGAAGAAATCCCTCCCGCCCATGGCCTCCTCGGCCCTAGCTTGCATTCCAAGGCCCTCCAGTTAAATGCCTATTTCCTGTGCTTATGTCTGTAGTTACTCCTGCTTACAGGAAGCACTGGCAGAGCAGGCCCAGGGCTCAGCTTCTCGGGCTTCAGTTTCCTCCCCTTTCAAGTAGGGGACACGGAGCCAGCAGCCAGCAGTTGGCCTGGGTGGGCAGTGACTCGGAGAAGGGGCTGGTATCGGCCCATTTTACAGATGAGGTGATGCCATAGACTGGGCCCAGTGCCATCCCATGTCTGGGTCTCTGGCCCAGCACTTCAGTCTAGGACCACCCCATCCACCAGGATCTTGTAAAGACTAGAGAAGCCCCTAGGACAGGCGCAGGAGCCTATCTGTAGGGCACTGTCCTGCTCCTGGCAAGCTGAAAGCTTTCTTTGCTTTTCTCTGTCAAACAAGGACCCGTAGGGCTGGAGAGATAGTTCAGTGTGCCCAGTTCACAGCACCACATGTGACCTCCCCCCCCCCAAATCCCACCAGGAATAATTCCTCAGCACAGCCAGGCTGGCCCCAAAACCAAAACCACGGGTACCAGGGTGCCCCGTCTCCTGGGGTGGTTGGTATTCCGAGCAGTGGCATTTTCAGTGGGGTCCTTCCGGCTCTCTTGTCCTTGGGGACACACAGGCAGGTGTGTCCAGCTGTCTTACTGCTCCAGGGTCTCCAGGTAGCCTCTGCCAGTATTTGAACCAGCTCCGCCCAGAACTCTTCCAGGAATGAGAACTCTGCCCACTCGGCCTCTCCCAGTGGCTCAGCCCTTCTGTCTAGACAGAGGCGTCTCTGACTCCCGCGGGGTGTCCACCACGGAGTGGTGACCTTATCAGAGCCGGCCACGCACTGCTGTGGAGAGGGCCTGTTGGCAGCTCTCAGAGGACCCCCTTCTCCTTACCCTCAGTTCCTGCGGCTGGAGGTGAGTGAGGGAAACGAGGATGGGGGGAGGGGTCCTTGATGTCTAGTTCTTCCCTGGGTCTCTCTTCCTGCCCTCCCACTTCAGAGGGCCCACACTCAGCTGCAGGGTGCTGGGGTCCGGGCAGCAGCACCTCGAGGCCCCACTGTGTGCCACCACCCCAGGCAGCTGTCCCCACCTCAATCTCAGGTCCCAGAGGCATCTGATGTCCAACTTCCTGTACCCCGGTGGGCGTTGGCTTCAGGCTCTAAGTTGGGAGCAGGGGTGGGAGGTGATGGGGGGTGTCCGTAGACCATGGGGAGGACGACTGCTTCAGATCAGGACATGGGGTGGCCCCAGGGTTTCCCCTCCTCTGCCACTCAGCCAGGAGGGTCTGCTGTGGGTGAGGGCTGGGCCTGGGGTTTCGGGGCACAAAGATGACATTCAGTACCGCCGGGCCAGACCCGCCCGCGAGAGCCAGCCTCAGGTCATGGGAAGTTCACTGCTGAGAGCTCAGTTATTAAGAGCTCATAATCCTCCTGTTATTATTGTGGACGCAGTTGTGATTGCTCTGGGGTTCTGAAAAGGGGAAACTGAAAAGAGGATCTTGGATTAACACTTGGCTTCCAGACACAGGCCTGAGGTGAGGGCGGAGGGACCCTCACTCTGATTTCCCCCGCTCTGGTTCCCTGAGGTGAGGAGGAGCAGCACTAGGGCGGCCTCCACCCTGTCGGGTGACCCCAGACCCAGGGCTCCCCTCCCTGTGCTGCCTGGCTGATGAATCATGGGGCTGCCCCAGGCTCTGGCATTTTCCTTCCTGCTGGGCAGCCTCAGACTGCCCACCCCCTCCCGAACCCTCCCTCACTCTGCTGAGTTCTGTTTTAATGGAAAACAAAGTTGTGTTTGCTTACCAAATTAGTCCAATAAAAACAAGGTGGAAGTCAGGAAAGGGTGGGGGGAAAGGGTAGTGCCCCATATCCATTCTCCGGGGGCATCTCTGTGGCACCCTTATCCTGTCCTCCAGACGCCTTTGTAACATGGCACAGTTGGCCAGAGATAGCACTGTGGGTAGGGGTCTTGCTTTGCAAGCAGCCAACCTAGATTTAATCCCCGGCAGCACATAGAGTCCCCCAGACATCGCCAGAAGGGATCCCCGAGCACAGAGCCAGAAGTAAACCCTGGACAGGAGCGATCCCTCGGTACAGAACCAGGCTGGCCCCATGGCCAAAATCGAAACCAAGGGTACCTGGGTACCCCTGTCTCCTGGGGTGGTTAAGTATTCCGAGCAGTGGCATTTTCAGTGGGCTCCCTCTGGCTCTCTTGCCCTTGGGGACACACAGGCAAGAAGCCCCTTATCCCACCAGCTGTCTTCCTATTCCTCAAAAGTAGGGGAGATTGCTCAGAGGGTGTGTGTGTGTGTGTGTGAGTGTGTGTGTGTGCGCGCGCGCGCACGCACATCCTAGCACTTCGTGGGCCCTGCCAGTACCACATGGAGTGACCCTGAAGCACTAAAGTAGGAGTCGCCCCTCCGTACTGCCTGGTGGACCCCGAAAACCAAATGAAAAATAAAGGAGGGTCTGGGAGCTGCTCGGATCTGTCAACTAGTAGATACATGCCTCGCATGCACAGACCCGGGGCTCAGTCCTCAGCACTGTTTGGGGAGTGGTGAGTGTGGACTCCACAATTAAAAAAGGAAAAGTCACCAGTTTATATATACAGTTAATTAAAAAAAAATTCCCTAGCAGTTGGAGAGATAGTGCAGTGGGCAGGACTCTCGCCTTGCACACGACTGACCCTGGTTGGATCCTTGGCGTCCCATATAGTCCCCCAAGGCTGCAGGAGTGATCCCCGAGTGATCTTCCTTGCAGAGCCAGGAAGTAAGCCCTGAGCACTGCCACGTGTGCTCCCTCACTGACAAAAAAAATTTTTAGAAGTAAGAATATAAGTTCCTAGAACGAACAGATGCCACTGGGCTACGCTAGCACGCAACAGGGATGAATGGAGACGTTACTGGCACCCGCTCGAGTAATTCGATGAATAACGGGGGATCAAGCGATCAAGTGACGAATATAAGTCTCCAGAGCGGAGAGAAGAGATGAGCTGAGATGCACATGTTCTGCCTTGCAGATGGGAGGCTCAGGCTGGGACCTGACACTGAAGGTCGCTGAGCATGGGTGGGGGGGCTGAGCACGGGGAGAGCAATGGACACCAAATCCGCCCGCCCACCCACACCACACATGTGACCCAACTGAAAAAAAAAAGGCAAATCTACACAGCATCTCCTTATCAGGGAACATGTCACAAGATCTCCAGGGACTTCTGGAAACCCCAGACCCCAGTCTCTCTGTGCTGTTTGCCCTACCATGTGTCCCTGTTTGCTTCATAAGTTACAAGCGGGCCCAGCGAGAGTCCAGCAGGGAACTACTAGCTTCTGCCCTCCCTGCTGGACTGACCCCCCCCCCCCAGTTCAATCCTTGGAACCACATATGGTCCCCTGAGCCCCACCAGGAGTGATTCCTAGCACAGCCTGGGTGGTCCCCAAACAAGACAAAGCCTCAATTACAAGCATCTTACAGCTGACTACTAGTAATGCAGAACTCCGTGATGATACATTGCCAATCAGGTTTGTGGCCTCGCTCTTTTTAGAAGTACTTTTTTTTTTGTTGGCTTTTCTTGGGTCACGCCTGGCAATGCACAGGGGTTACTCTCCTGGCTCTGCACTCAGGAATTACTCCTGGCGGTGCTCAGGGGACCCTATGGGATGGCGGGAATCGAACCCGGGTTGGCCGCGTGCAAGGCAAATGCACTACCCGCTGTGCTATCGCTCCAGCCCCTTTCTGGAAGTACTTGACTGTGTTTAATATTTTTTGACTTAGTGTTTGATCATGTGGTCATGGGGTTCTTGAAACTCAGAAAAGCGCAGATAAGGGTATTCTTTTGTAAAAATATGAGGCCATTGTCTGAAAAATGGGGGAAATGAAGCCAAGAAGTGGGGTGGAGGGAGGAAGCAGTCCATAATCTTATTTTAGCAAAAGCTATTATTAACCTCTTAATCCCTGTGACAGGCAAAAAGTAAAAAAAATTCCCTTGGTTTTTCTTCCCTCTTTTCCCTTTGAGAAATACTGGGTTTTCTGGGGAACCCCTGTGACCTCCTTGGCAAGCCTGTCAACTCAGCGGGTCCCCACCCTCAGGCTTGTTGGGAAACGTATCCACAGTAGCCCGGCAGCTGACCCCAAGTAGCCTGTCTCTCTGCATTCCCCTGCCAGGCCCGATGGGTGGGATGGTCCTGTGGGGTGTGCTGGGGTAAGGTCTCTCGCATGCAAAATAAGCACTTTAAGCCTATATGATCTCCATCTCTCTCTCTCTCTCTCTCTCTCTCTCTCTCTCTCTCGTTCTCTCGTGGGCGGGGGGGGGGGCGGCTCACCTAGCAGTGCTCAGAACTGATTCTGGCTCTGTGTTCAGGAATCACACCTCAGGGGACCATATTGGTGTGGGGATCAAGTGCAGGTCAGCCGAGTACAAGGCAAGCCTTGCCCACTGTACCATCCCTCTGGTCCCTTTCTCTTAAAAATTAAAAATCTCAGGGCTGGAGATACAGTACAGCAGGTAAGGCATTTGCCTTGCACGCAGCCGACCCAGGTTCGATTCCCAGCATCCCATATGGTCCCCCAAGCACCGCCAGGAGTAATTCCTGAGTGCATGAACCAGGAGTAACCCCTGTGCATCGCCGGGTGTGACCCAAAAAGAAAAAAAATGATCTCTCTCTCTCTCTAGATAGATATAATACAGTGAACACAAATGAAATGTAAGTTATACAATAGAATAATAGAATGAACTTCTTTTTATTTATTGTTTGGTTTTGGGGCCACACCTGGCGGTGCTCAGTGCTTACTCCTGGCTCTGCACTCAGGAGTTACTCCTGGCGGTGCTCAGGGGACCCTAGGGGATGTGGGGGATCGAACCCAGTTGGCTGCGTGAAAGGCAAACCTTATCTGCTGTGCTGTTGCTCTGGCCTCATGTTTTGTTTTGGGGTCACACCTGACAGCACTCCAGGGCTACTCCTAGCTCTGTGCTTGGGGACCGTGAGGTGCTGGGGGTTGAATCCAGGTCTCCTGCACTCAAAGCACGGTCTCCGTCTATTATTCCTCAGCCTTTTCTTTTCATTTTCTTTCATGTTTAGTGCTTACTTAGCCCAGCGGGTAGGGCGTTTGTCTTGCAAGCAGCCAACACAGCCGAGTTCGATTCCTCTGCCCTTCTCAGATAGCCGGGCTATCTACTGAGAGTATCTTGCCCGCACAGCAGAGCCTGGCAAGCTACCCGTGACGTATTCAATATGCCAAACACAGTAACAAGTGTTACAGTGGAGATGTTACTGGGCCCGCTTGAGCAAATCGATGAACTACGGGAGGACAGTGACAGTGACTCCGCCAGCCAGGCGGGGGTTTCAGCGCTCTGGCCCAGCCCTTGCATGCTCCAGGCTGGATCACGGAGATCAACCCTAGTGTGCTTGGGGACCCTCAGGGTCACACGTGGGCCAGTTATGTACCCTAACCACGTATATTTTCAAGTATCCCTCCTTTTCTCTGGTGGTGGTGGGGGAGGGAATAGACCCAGCTGTGCTCAGGGCTTACTCCTAGCTCTGCACTCAGAACTCATTCCTGGCAGGCTCAGGGGACCATATAGGGTACCGGGGACAGAACTGGAGTCAACTGTGTGCAAGCAAGCGCCTTGCCCAGCGCACTATCACTCTGGCCCCATTTTGTGACTATTGCTGTAGGGACCCACACTTCATGGTATTGGGGACCTGTGCCATTCCTGCCGGGGTCCAAACCAGGATCTCACACACGTAAGACATGGGTAAGTGCTCTACTACTAGACTCACATTCCTGCTTCTGTGTCTTAGTTCTCTAGCTATGTGCCTGGGGGGCGGGGGGGGGGGGGGGGAGTCGCTCCTGGCAGTGCTCGGGGCGCTGGGGGTTGAAGAGGTTCTCAGTTTGCCAGGCAGGTGCCTTCCTCTCCGCACTCGCTCAGGCCCACCTTAGTCTTGTCACCCAGTGGCTATCAATGGTCCACCTTCATGGACTCTGAATAGCCTCATGATTATACTGTCACTGTCACTGTCCTCCTGTTGTTCATAGATTTTGCTTGAGTGGGCCCAGTAACGTCTCCATTGTGACGCTTGTGACTGTGTTTGGTATATCAAATACGTCACGGGGAGCTTGCCAGGCTTTGCCGTGCGGGCGAGATACTCTTGGTAGCTTGCTGGGCTCTTCGAGAGGGGCTGAGGAATCGAACCCGGGTCGCCTGGGTCGGCCGCGTGCAAGGCAAACGCCCTGACCACTGTGCTATTGCTCCAGCCCTGGAATCTAAAACCTACAAATACAAGAACTTTAAGCTGCCCAGCACAGTGCTGTCATTATTCATGCCAATTATTAGTAAAAGAGCCAGTCTTTTGCATGTTTATATTCTTTTTATAAAATCTAAGACCAAATCTAAAGACATAGTGATCTATAAACTGTGGAACAAGGAATATAATTATATTAGCTTATTATTTTTGTTCGGCTTTGTTTTTGGATCACACCCGTCAACGGGCTCAGGGGCTGCCCAGTGTTTGGAGGTTGCTTCCTGAGGGCTTCCACACCGGGACCACTGCGGGGTGGGGTGGGGTGGGGGCTGGAACATGCAACCGAGTCAGCTCCCTGGCCGGCCCTACCCTAGTACCTTGAAGCCTTCCAAAGCCGCACTGAGGTCTTTCTGCAGCTGGTGGGCGCCGGAAGCGAAGCCCAGGCAGAATCCGAGTTTACCCGGGGCGGGGAAGGTCAGGGTGCAATTCGACTGAGCTCAAATCGCGGGATGCGCCGGACTCAGTGTCCCCGTCCTGGTCGTGGTCAGCACCCCAGAGAGAAGTGGGCTCCATCCGGTCTTGGGAAGGCTGCTGCTCTCTCCGCCGTCACTGAGCGTTGCCGGGAGTCAGCTGGCGGCTCCGGTGGTGGTGGTGGTGGTGGGGTGCGGGGTCTTGCGAGCCCACCCCGCACCCTTCCCTCCCAGCACCGCCCCGGGGCGGAGCTAGCCGGGGGCCGCCTCCCAGGCCCCGGGCAGCCGCGCGGCGGCGCTAGGACCCCGCGGGCCGGGGCTGCGGCGGGGCCTGGGCGGCCGGAGCGGCTCGGACCCCGGCTCGCGGCTCCCGGCGCCATGTGAGGGGGCTCGGGGGCCGCGGGGGGCCGGGCGCTCCCCGGGGGAGGTGAGCCGACGCCGCGCGGGGGGCGGGGGGCGGGCGCGGGGGGCCCGGCCTGCACCCCGGGGGAGCGCGCCGGGACTGCGCGGGGCGGGATGCGGGGGACCCCCCTGGGGAGGGGGCTGGCCGCGCGGGACCCCCGGGGACGGGGCTGGCCGCGGGAGACCCCCGAGGCCGCTGCCCGCGCGCCCCACGCGCCGCGGGGCCTCCGGCCGCGCCGTTGGAGCGCAGGGACCCGCGGCCCGTTAGCCGCCCCGGGGAGGGGCGCGGGACCCCGGCGAGCGGGAGTCGAGAGGGGCGGGGGTCTCGGCCAGCCTGGCCCCCGCCCGCCGCCCGCGAACCCCGCCTCGGAACGGGGAGCCCCCCGGCCGTGCTCCCCGGAACCCTCCTCCCACGCGTCGTTGGGGAGGGGGCACCCCAGCCCTGCGGGAGCGCTCTTTGGGTTCGGGGAGGCGGAGACCCCCCAAACGGGGCGCAGGGTGGGGGTGTCCCCGCCGGAGCCCGGGCGCTCGGCCCTCCTGCACCGCCGCCTGGGCGCGGGGGGCCACGCTCCGGCCCGGGCCCTGCGCCCCGGCCCCCCGGCGAGTCGCCCCCACGGGGAGGCAGGGGGCTCGCCCCGCGGGGCTGCGGCGCCCACCCCCACGCCCCGGGAGTTGCCTGTGCCCGGCGCTCGGCCACCCTGACCCTCGGCCTCCTCCCCCTCCTCCTCTTCCTCCTCGTCGGGGTCGGGAGGTGGGGGGCGTTTGCAGCCCCTCCGCGCGGCCGCCTGGCCGGGAAGGCGCGCGCCTGGCACGGACGCGCCGCTTGGCACCGGGGTTTGCGGGAACCGGGACGTTTACCGGTCAGTGTGGGGGCGGCGGGGACTCCGGCAAGGCGATGGATAACCCCAGGAGCGCCGGGTCCCGCAGGCGGGTCCAGCGGGCCGGCGAGTGACCCACGCGTGTTCCCGTTTCTCAGATGTGGAGGCTGAGGCTCAGCGAGGTCCCATGGCTCTCCCGAGGCCCCTCACCCAGTAAGTGCTGGAGCCGGGATTACGCACGCACGCGGGATGCTGTCACTGACATCACCGGGCCGCTCAGAGCAGAACGGTGCTGGGCTGACCACTGGGGGGGCGGGGGGCGGCTCAGGCAAAGGTCGGACAGTGGGGGGAGCACCGGAGTCGGGGATCTGAGCCCAAGGACGAGTTAGCCACGCTTCCCTTGGGGTGAGCCTCGGTTTCTCCAGCCGAGGACGTGGTGAGCGCCCCGGGCCTCCTCGGGGCCAGGCCCAGGGAGAAACCTGAAGCCCAGCTGGGGAGGACGCGCCAGGCCCGGGGTCTGGCCAATCGGGAGCGGCGAGCGGGTGGGGGTGGGGGTGCCCCCGGCGGCCCTGGGGCCTGTGCCCTGTGTCACTGGCTGAGTAAACAACCTGTAGGTCAGGGCCGGAGCTGGGCTGCGCTCACAGGCCCCTGCCGCGACCTAGAACCCCAGTTTCTCCCTCTGCCCCGTCCACTCCACCCTCAGTTCTCTGTGCTCTCGAATCTTCCGGAAGTGGTTGGACCCAAGTACTTGCTCCCTTTTGACAGGTGGGGAAACTGAGGCCCCAGAGAGGCGCTGGTTTTAACAAGAACAGGAGGAGGAGGAGGAGGAGGATTCTGGGGAAGAGCAGACCCAGCTTTGTCTGACCTCCTGGGGGGGCTGGGGCAAAGAGGAGGGTCTATCCAGGGTGCCCCCCAGTTCCACGCTTGGAGAGCCGCAGCGCTGTGCTGCCAGCCCCAGGACCACGCGTGCGCAGGTGCCTTTAGTTCGCACCGAGATCTGTTCCTGAATGGAGCGATTCTGCAGCACCAACGGGTGCATCCTCCCGCCACCCCCGGACTCCCCCCAGGCTCAGGAGAAGCTGAGCTGGCTGCCCCCCCACCCCCACCCCGCAGAAGAGGCAGCCTGGCCTCCGGAACCCCGCAGGGGGAGTTCTCCCACCCCCGTGGGAGAGGGGTGGGGATGGGCAGGATGTGTCGGTGTGGGGGCAGACATGCACAGTCTGGGTGCGGGGGCAGAAGTTTGGGGCCCAAGGAGACTGTTTCACTGCAGGGACCTAAGAGCAGGGACGGAAGACAGGTCTTAACGTCGAGCATGTATGGAGAGGGAGTCCAGCAGTGGGGGAGGGGGGTTTGTCCTGCACACGGCCAACCCGAGTTAAATCCTCAGTAGCCCATCCGGTCCCCTGAGCATGGCCAGGAGTGACTTTTTTTTTTCCTTTTTGGGTCACACCCAGCAATGCTCAGGGGATTACTCCTGGCTTTGCACTCAGGAATCACTCCTGGCAGTGCTTGGGGAGGGACCCTATGGGATGCCGGGGATCGAACCCGGGTCAGCCACGTGCAAGGCAAACAAACGCCTTACCTGCTGGGCTATTGCTGATTTGTGGGCAGTCACATCGCTGCTGGATGTGACCGAAAAGCCGAAAATAAAGTTGGGGGTGTGAATGTTGCTCCCTCTGCTCCCCCACCGAGGAGCCAGCTTCAGCTCCGTGGGCTGCTAGGGTGTCCCCCAGGAGCGGCGGAGGGAGAGGGGTGGCTGTGGGGAGAGATCACGGCAGTGCTGCCGCCTGGCTGTGTGGTTTCGTGGATTCCTCCTCTTCCTGCTCTCGGTCTGAGACTAAACACCATGCATGGAGGGACCAGAGAGAGAGCGCGCGCAGTGGGTCGAGCGCTTTTCTTGCATGTGGCCATCCCTGCTTGGAACCCCAGTACCAAATAAAGGTCCCTCGAGCACCCCCGCGAGCTTCCCTCAGAGCCAGGAGTCAGCTCTGAGCACTGCTGGGTATGGCTCAACCCCCCCCCCACCACCACCGGAAATAAAACGTCCTGGGTGGGCAGGAGGATTGAGTGGGGTATGTGGAGGATGCCAGCCCCGGTGGAGGTGTCAGGACATGATCCTTTCATCTGTTCTGTGACTTGCAGGAGTGACCCCTCCTCCGTGTCCCCCGGGCCACTTGCAGGACACCGGCCCCTGCCCCACAGCAGATGCCGCAGAGAGATGAGTAGCAACAAAGTAAGTCCTTCCAACTTGGCCCCGTGGCCACCTCTGAATCCGGCTGTGGGACTCAGGCCCAGGCCATCGGAAGTCCCCCCTCCTTACTGCCCAGTGGCCATGGGGACCTGGGAGGGCCCCATTGTGCATGGTGGGGCGGCGGGTACAGCTGTGGCCACTCTGGGCTCTGTCCCTCACTGGCCTCCCCGGCCTGGCCGTCTTCAGGAAAGGACTGTGGAAGGGTGACTGGAGTGTTGTGGGGTGCAGGGGGGACCGGGAGCTGGCCGGGAGCGGGAGGCTGAGGGGGAGAGAGAAGTTGGGAATGAGCACCATTTCAGGGGGCACTGAGGGTCCCCCCTATCCATTCACCCCTGCTTTCCCCCAGCGCTTCCCAGTATCCTGGGCTGAGCCTGAAGGTGGTGGTCGGGGCTGTGTGTGTGGTGTGTGTCTGGGCGCAGTGGAACAGAGAAATCCTGCAGGAACTGGGCGGGGGAAAGTGGACCATGAATAATTACTGAGGCGTAGGCAGGACTGAGGGAGAGGAGCTCTGAGCAGGACAGAAATAGGCTGCATCAGGGACTCCCCACTCGGAGAGCTGAGGTCCCGGCTCCACGGGGCCCCTGGGTGCTGTGCAGCTTGCTGGGTGCTGTGGGTTGACGCCAGAGATGACACGCTCACAGCAGGGGCCAGGCTGCAGAGGTGGGAGGGGGCAGAAACTGCAGGAAGGGCCCGAGCCATAGGACACGGGGAGGGTGGGCAGGCGGGCGCTGGCCTTGCACGTGGCCAACCGCCAGGGGCCCAGCATCCCATCTGGTCCCCCGGACCGGCACGCGTCATTCTTGAGTGCAGAGCCAGGCGTGAATCCTGAGCACCGCCAGCTGTGGCTCAAACGCAAAACAAAACCATACAAAAAGCTGCAGGGTGCAGGGGACCCTTTGGGCCCCCCCACCCCCACTCTGGGAATCCCGCCTCCCGTGGGTGGGCCCGGCTCCAGCAGCCGCTCTCCAGCGCCCTCTACTGACAAAGCGTCGCCAAATTGTTTGGCAAAGAAACCCAGGGCCAGACTCAGATCCATTTGCAGGACACGGGCGAACAGGGTGCCCTGGACCTAAGGACAAGGCCCGGATCCATGCCCCGCACCCCGCAGGGGCCCCAGCCGCCGGGGCCGACCCGCACATTAACCCAGAGAAGCCCCAGGGCTCCGGGGATGGTTTGAGTGGAGCCCCCGGCTGACCCTGTGCCCAGCCTCAGAGCTCACGATCGCCCCGGAGGAGGGGACGGTTGGAATGAGAGGAGGCCTCCCTGGAGGAGGTGGGACCCCAAATGTAACTGAGCACAGGCATTAGGGGCAGGGAGGCGTGGGGGGGGTCGCACCTGCGACGGCTGGGCCCTCACGGCCTCTCCCCTCTCCAGGAGCAGCGGTCAGCACTGTTCGTGGTCCTCTTTGCCCTCGTCACCATCCTCATCCTCTACAGCTCCAACAGTGCCAATGAGGTCTTCCACTACGGCCCCCTGCGAGGCCACGGCCGCCGGCCCTTCAATCTCAAGAAGTGGCACATCAGTGACGGCTACGTGCCTATTCTTGGCAATAAGGTAGGGGCACGGCGGTTGTTTGGGGGCTGGCTGGGCCTCCTTCAGCTGCTCCCGTCCTTCCTTCCCTCCTTCCCTCCTTTCCACCTTCCTCCTTCCTTCTTACCTTCCTTCCCTCCTTCCCTCCTTCCTTTCCTCCTTCCTCCTTCCTTCCCTCCCTCCTTCTCTCCTTCCTTCTTCCTTTCCTTCTTCCTCCTTCCCTCCTTTCCTCCTTCCTCCTTTCTTCCTTCCCTCCCTCCTTCCCTCCTTCCCTCCTTCCTTCCTTCCTTCCCTCCTTCCCTCCCTCCCTCCTTCCTTCCCTCCTTCCCTCCCTCCTTCCCTCCTCCCCTCTTTCCCTTCTTCCTTCCCTCCTTCCTTCCTTTCCTCCTTCCTTCCTTTCCTCCTTCCTTCCTTTCCTCCTTCCCTCCTTCCTCCTTTCCTCCTTCCTTTCCTTCTTCCTTCTTCCCTCCTTCCCTCCTTCCCCCCTTCCCTTCCCCTTCCTTCCTTCCTTCCTTCCTTCCTTGAATTTTGGGTCATACCCGGCAATGCTCAGGGTTTACTCCTGCCTCTGCACTCAGGAATTACTCTTGGTGGGAAGTGGGACCATATGGGATGCTGGGGATCGAACCCGGGTCGCTCACGCGCAAGGCAGGCACCCTCCCGAGTGCACTATCACTCTGGCCCCGCGTCCATCCTTCCTGAAGGTATAGACCCCAGGAGCCCAGGCTTTGGCTCCTAGTACTTGTTTTGTTTTGTTTTGTTTGCGTCTTACCCGTTGGTGCTCAGGGCTTGCCGGCTCTGCACTTGAGGATCATTCCTTGAGGTGCTCAGGGAACCATTTGGGGTGCCGGCGACTGAAGCTGCGTCTGCCGCCTGCAAGGCAAGCACCCTCCCCACTGTGCATCACTCTGGCCCCAACTCCTAGTACTTCCGCTCCTTGTTTGCTGTGTGACCTGGGACAAGTGTCTCCTCTTCTCTGAGTCTTGGGTGTACCCAAGGGCCCGTGCTCTGTGCTCCTTTCCTGGTGTCTTTGGGTCAGAATCCCTCTGGAAAGGTACTTCTGGTTTTCCCTGATCTCTCTCTCTGCCGGGGGCGGTTCACACAGGGTTCCTCACAAAAACTCAGTCAGGATAATAGTTGCCCCTTGCCGGGTAAAAATGGGGCACTCTAGGACGTGCTATCTCCCATGAAGAGAGGAGGAGTTGGGGTCCCAGAGAGGTGGAGACACCGGTGAAAGTCCACACAGCAGGAAAGAGGAGGAGCTAACGCATTGCCCCATTCCTTCTGCCTCGCAGCTTGTTTGGGGGCCATCCTGGCGGTGCTCAGGACTTACTCCTGGTCTGGGCTCAGGTGGGTCTCCTGGTGGGTCTCAGGGACCGTATGAGATGCCAGGGAGTGAGCGAACCCATATCAGCTGCATGCAAGGCGAGCACTGTACCCGCTGTCCTGTCGCTCTGGTCTGAGTTGCCGTTTGTAGAGACCAGAAGTTGGGGTGAGGCTCCTGCTCGCCGTGGGAACTCTGAGACTCAGTATGTATCGCTGGGATTCTGGTGGCCCGCTAAGCCCGAATTGTCCTCCCTGGGGCCAGGGGGCATTATCAGCTTGAGGGTGACACTGCCCACCCAGTTTTTTTTTGTTTTTTTTGTTTTTTTTTTGCATTTTGGGTCACATCCGGCAATGCTCGGGGGTTATTTCTGGTTTTACACTCAGGAATTACTGCTGCCAGTGCTCAGGGGACCATATGGGATGCTGGGAATCGAACCCGGCTTGGCCACGTGCAAGGCAAATGCCCTACCCGCTGTGCTATTCCTCTGGCCCCCCAAACTCCCTTTTGCAATCCCAGCAGTAGTTTGTTTTTTCTTTTTGGGTCACACCTGACGATGCACAGGGGTTCCTCCTGGCTCTGCACTCAGGAATTACTCCTGGCGGTGCTCGGAGAACCATATGGGATGCTGGGAATCGAACCCGGGCCGGCCGCATGCAAGGCAAACGCCCTCCCCTATTGGTCCAGTTCTATCAGGCTCTTTACAAACACAAAGATGTTGGGTGCAGGGCTCCAGCTGTCGCCCACCAAGCCCATTAGCGGGCGTGTAGACCCCGTCCCCCAGGGGGACTCAAGAGAGAAATTGAAAACAGTGCACCCTGGGAGAACGTGGAAGAGTTTGGGGGTGACCGAGAGGGAAGGAAGTGGAGCTGGGTCTCTCGGCCTGTCTGAGTAGTACCCAGAAAAGCGACAGTGCAGGCACCCGGGATATGTTGGCAGCTCAGGAAGGCTGCCTGGTGGAGGTGGCTTCAAAGCTTGGCACTGGCTGCGCGAGAATTCCATAGCAGAACGCAGACTCCCCCCGCCCCCCCCCCCAAAAAAAAAATTAGTCCTAGCGGCACAGAAATACTCAGAGAGCCTTCTGCCCTGGTCCCTACTGATGTGCTCATGGATGCTGTGGAAATGTCACAGGTGTGTGGGGGAGTATCCCCTCTTTGGGGAGCTGGGCTGAGTTTGGGGCTCTGGGGTTCAGACCCCACGAGATGAGCATCCCTGCCTGTTTGGCCCACAGCACCCTGCACCCATCTCCTCCCCCCCCCCCCCCCCGCCACCCTGCTCCTCCAGCCTCCAGCTCTTCTCCGTGGGGTTCCTGCTTAGCTCAGAGAGGCCCTGCCTGACCCTCACGGCTTTCCCAGAGCCCACCCATTTTTCTTATATGGATCTTGGGGGAGGGGTCACACCTGGCAGTGCTCAGGGGTTACTCCTGAGTGCACTCAGGACACCCGTGGTGGTCAGGACGCATGTGGTGGTGACCCTCTGGGATACTGAGGATGGAACCCAGGTGGGCCATGAGTAAAGCACATGCCCACCCCCCCCCCCACTGTGCTATCTCTCAGCTCCCCCGAGTTTTTGGTCTGTGTTTCTGGGCCACGCCCAGCAGGCCACCCCCGTTGGTGCAAAGCCAGCCCCGTCCTCCTCTCTGCACACTTCCTGACATGTTTTGGTTGTTGTTTTTTGTTTGGGGACCACACCCAATGGTGCTCATTCCTTAAGGGACTTGGGGGGCTGTCTGGGAAGCTGGGGACCAAACCTGGGTGGGCCTTGTGCAAGGCAAGTACCCTGCCCACTTTACTATTGCTCCCTGTCATTATTGCTTTATTTATTTATTTATTTATTTATTTTTGGTTTGGGGGCCACATCTGACTATGCCCCGTGGCTAGTCCTGGCTCGGCCCTCAGGAATTACTCCTGGTAGTGCTCTGGGGACCATCTGGAATGTCAAGGATCGAACCTGAGTTGGCCACATACAAGGCAAGCAGCCTACCCACTGTACTATTGCTCTGGGCCACCTATTAATTTTTTGCTTTGTGCTACAACCCTTTGAGCCATCTCCCAGCACAAATACAGTGATTTTTTTTTTTTTTGGTCACACTCAGCGATGCTCAGGTATTCCTTCTGCCTCTACATTCAGGAATTAACTCCTGGCGATGCTTAGGGATCATATAGGATGCTGGGTATTGAACGCCGGTCAGCCATGTGCAAAAGCAAGTACCCTACCCATTGTCCTTTCTTTCTGGCCCTCACACGTTTTAAAATAATAAACCTTTTTTTTTTTTTTTTTGCTTTTTGGGTCACACCCGGCGATGCACAGGGGTTACTCCTGGCTCATGCACTCAGGACTTACTCCTGGCGGTGCTCGGGGGACCATATGGGATGCTGGGAATCGAACCCAGGTTAGCTACGTGCAAGGCAAACACCCTACCCGCTGTGCTATCACTCCAGCCCCCAATAAACCTGAAAATAAAAAATTTTATTTTCATAGCACTATAGCACTGTCCTCCTGTTGTTCATCGATTTGCTCAAGCGGGCACCAGTAACCTCTCCATTGTGAGACTTGTTACTGTTTTTGGCATATCGAATACGTCACGGTTAGCTTGCCAGGCTTTGCCGTGCAAGTGCAATACGATTGGTAGCTTGCCAGGCTCTCCGAGAGGGACAGAGGAATCGAACCAGGATCAGCCTGGGTCGGCTGCATGTAAGGCAAGCGCCCTAACCACTGTGCTATCGCTCCAGCCCTTTATTTTTATATTACACCTTATATAAACACTGTGGTTTACAAAGTTTTTCATGATTATTTGTTATAGATAATCAATATTCTGGAGCCCTGGTCGGGGCAGGGCGGAAAGCTCAACCCGCTCCCCTCCAAGGGGCCCCGGCGAGGACAGCCAGGCGAGGGGGCAGGAGACTGCACTGTTCTCTTCCGGGAGCTGGTTTTTATAGTCTCTGAGTCTTGGCCGCTGATGGGATTACACAGCGCCAGGGGCCCAGTTGGTGGGTGTGACCCCGAAGACCTCCAGGACCAGCCACCACCATGCTGAGACCACTCTCCGCACACCTGAAGGTACCGGCAGAGGAACAAAAGGCAAGCGGGTCCCGGGGCTGAGATCTCCAAGCCTACTCGGATCGGGACTGAGCATCCTCCACCCAGATCCTCCGAATTCCAGTAGGCAGGGGTCACACCCACCAACTGGCCCCCTGGCGCCGTGTAATCCCATCAACGGCCAAGACCCAGAGACTATAAAACCCAGCTCCCGGAACTGCGCGGCCGTGAATGCTTATATGACATCTTATTATCTCATTCCTACTTTGGACAAACTGGCAGGCTATCGAATGTAGCCTGCCCACATGGCAGAGCCTGGCAAACTCCCCGTGGCGTACCCAATATGCCAAATACCAGTAACATGATGGGTCTCATTCTCCTAAAGAGCCTTGAATATAATCTCAGGGCTAGGATGAAGGAGACGTTACTGGGGCCTGCTCGAGGCAATCGACGAATAACAGGATGGTCATGATTCGTGATTCGTCGTGAATCAATATTCCAGTACCAATTCCATAGTGATTGCTTCCCACCACTATCTCCAATTTTCCCAACCACCCCTTATGCCTGCCCACATAGCAGGCCCTCAATTATTTATTTCATATTCCTTGTTATAATATGCTAAAAGAATGATCAATTTTTATTTTAATTTTTATTAGTGAAACACCATGAGGCACAGTTGTAGATTTACAGATTTTTGTGCTTGGGTTTCGATTATACAATGATGAAATACCCATCCCTCCACCAGTGCCCCTTTTCCACCACCATGGATCCCAGTAGCCCTCCCACACCCATCCCCCCCATCCCACCTTGCCACTGTGGCAGAGCAAGAATGATAAAAAATGTTTTCTCAGAAGAAAGTGAAGATTGTGTATCTCACCGTGGAGCTATTAAGCCCTTGCATAAGCAATTACTAAGATATTATTACAGGTTAAGCCTCTGTGTTGGTATTTTGTTAATTGAGATTGGATGCCTTCTATATGTTACATCCCATCCAAGCTGGTGGGCTACTCCTGGCTTATCAGTGTTGTAGAGTTTGAGATGTCACTCCAGGAAGTCCAAAATTTTTATTTATTTATTTTTTTTAAGGTAAGCTTTTATTATATTTTTTTAATTTATTTTTTGCTTTTTGGGTCACACCTGGCAATGCACAGGGGTTACTCCTGGCTCTGCACTCACGAATTACCCCTGGCGGTGCTCAGGGGACCATATGGGACGCTGGGAATCGAACCCGGCTCAGCCGCATGCAAGGCAAATGCCCTACCTGCTGTGCTATTGCTCCAGCCCCAAGTCCAAAATTTTTAATAAACTGATACCGCTGGAGTTAAATTTTTAACTGGGTGGCATTTGAGGGCATGTGTGTGACTGCCATGGCATCTAAAAGTACAGGAAGATGGGGGAGGTAGCCCAGCCCCAACTTTGCAGAAGCCTGGAGATTTCAGTCACAGAACCTGCACAACTGTATTTTCAACAGATTAATCTCTGGATGAGGCTAGTCCTGAGCAGTGGAGTCCGGCCTGGAGCATGGCAGCACTATGGAGCGTGGAGGTTTTCGGTTGCCGGGGCTCTGTTTGGGCCGGTGCTCGGTTCACCCACACCCCTCGGGGGTGCCCCAGACCACTCAGCCTTGCATGGGGTACAGAGGAATCTCTGTATCTTGCTGATCTCTCTCGAGATTTATTTATGAGTCTCTGAACCATAGCCAGTAAAAGAGCTTGCATCTAAAATAATAAATTTAGGGGCTGGAGCAATAGCACAGCAGGTAGGGCGTTTGCCTTGCACGCAGCCAACATAGCTGACACAGGTTCGATCCCCAGCATCCCATATGAACCATATGAACCCCGAGCACCGCCAGGAGCGATTCCTGAGTGCATGAGCCAGGAGTAACCCCTGAGCATCGCTGGGTGTGACCCAAAAAGCAATAAATAAATAAATAAATAAATACATAATAAACTTAGAGCTATGCAAGGTATTATGAAGATTGCAGGTCCCTGGAAAACTAAGGGCTCCAATGCAAGGATCTACCCGTGGGCCACTTCCCCAGCTCCACCTGGCATTATTTTGGGTTTGTTTTATTTGTTTTGGGGTTTGTTTTGTTTGGGGGCCTTACCTGGTGGTGCGTAGGGGTTACTCCTGACAGTGCTTGGGGACCATATTGGATGCTGGAAATCAAAGCTGGGTTAGCCGCATACAAGGCAAAGGCCCACTGTGGGCCTGATTTGTTTTGTTTTGTTTTGCCTTGTCTTGTCTTTTTGGCATTCACCTGGCTGTGCTCAGGGATTACTTGTGACAGTGCTCAGGGGACCATATGTGTTGTGTTGTGGGGATTGATCCTGGGTCCATCACCTGCAAGGCAAGTGCCCTGCCCACTGTGCTATCCGTCTGGCCTTCCAACTTGGGCATTACTTTGACTTGTTCAGTCAGTCTACCCGATCCCGATGTTTGGTGGGCCGTTAGCCAGCTCACAAGAAACGTGATGAGGGACCAGCCCGACAGTACAGTGGGTAAGACACTTGTCTTGCACACTGCCGACCTGGGTTCGATGCTGGGCACCCCATATGGTCCAGCGCCTGCTGGAGTGATTCTGGAGTGCAGAGCAGGAATAAGTGCTGGGCACCACCCCGAGTGCTTCCCCCCCCCCCAATAAAATTGGTGACCGTTGTGAAGGGCTCCAGCTGCCCTGTCCCTACGGGGCATGATAACCCCTGCCTCCAGGGGTCCTGGGCATGGGGGGAGCTGGCCCTGAGTGACTGTGACAGTGCTGTCTTTCCTTGCCCCCTTCCCCGCAGACGCTGCCCTCACGGTGCCACCAATGTGTGATCGTCACCAGCTCCAGCCACCTGCTGGGCACCAAGCTGGGCGCCGAGATCGAGCGAGCCGAGTGCACCATCCGCATGAACGACGCGCCCACCAGCGGCTACTCCGCCGACGTGGGCAACAAGACCACCTTCCGCGTGGTGGCCCATTCCAGCATCTTCCGCGTGCTGCGGAGGCCCCAGGAGTTTGTGAACCGGACCCCGGAAACCGTGTTCATCTTCTGGGGCCCCCCCAACAAGATGCAGAAGCCGCAGGGCAGCCTGGTGCGGGTCATCCAGCGGGCCGGCCTGCTGTTCCCCAGCCTGGAGGCCTACGCCGTCTCTCCCGGCCGCATGCGCCAGTTTGACGACCTCTTCCGGGGTGAGACGGGCAAGGACAGGTACCGGCCTCCTGCCTGCACCTCGGGCCAGCCCTGGGGCCCCCCCTGCGCATGACACACCTTGCATGACACACCTCGCATGCCCGGCTCTGGGGTCCGGGCAGGTGACCCGGGGCCATGCTTCCAGCATGCATGGCAAGGCTCCAGCTTGACTTCCTTCCTCCCAGCAGGCCTGGGGCGGGGGGCACAGGGGCTCCCAGCACGCTCTGCTCCGAGATGCCCCAGCATCTTCCAGGGAGGGACCCTGGGAGCGGCTTCCGGTTCAGGGCCGGCTTTTCAGCATTGTCTTGCTTCCACACACAGTTCTCACGACACATCACTCCCAACATGCTTGGCTCTCCCCTAAACCCCCCCCTGAAAAGCTAGGTAGTACAGCGGGGAAGGGGGTTGTCCTGCACACTGGGGGCCCAGGTTCAGTCTCAGATGCCACACCAGGAGTAAGCCCTGAGCATGCCAGGTGCAGCCTCAAAAGAAAAAAACAAAAAGAGTAAAAAGGTCCAGAGAGCTCATACAGGGATAAAGCATCGACTTGTCTTGCACAAAGGCAACTCAGGTCAACTCCCAGCAGGCCGGATGGTCCTCTCTGAGCACAGAGAGAGCCTGGGAGGGAGCTCAGAGCACTGGTGGGTGTGGCCTGAAAAAATTTAAAAAATAGAGTGAAGGGAGTGGAGTGATAGCACAGCAGAGAGGGTGTTTGCCTTGCACGCGGCCCGACCCAGGTTCGATTCCCTGCATCCCATATGGTCCCCCCGAGCACAGCCAGGAGTAATTCCTGAGTGCATGAACCAGAAGGAACCCCTGAGCATCACCGGGTGTGACCCAAAAATAAAAAATTAAATAAATAAAAAATTTAAAAATTAGAGTAAAGGGAGTGGAATGACAGCACAGCAGGGAGGGTGTTTGCCTTGCACGCGGCCCGACCTGGGTTCGATTCCCAGCATCCCATATGGTCTCCCCCCCAGCACAGCCAGGAGTAATTCCTGAGTGCATGAACCAGGAGGAACCCCTGTGCTTCGCTGGGTGTGATCCAAAAGAAAAAATATTAAAGTGGAAAAGAGGGAGCAGAGAGATGTCTCAACAGACTAGAGTGGGGCTTTGTCTGCAGGAAGTCCAGGCTCCATGCCCAGCACTCGCATGGCCCCCAAGGGCCACTAGGAGCGACCCCAGAGCATGGAGCCAGGAGTTGCTCCTGAACATTACTGGGTGTTGCCCTAGAGGAGTGGAGAACAATAGTGTTTGTCTTGTGCTCAGCCGATGATGGTTCAATCCTCGGCACCCCATGTGGTCCTCCAGGCTCTGATAGAAGTGAACCCTGAACACCATCAGGTGTGCCCCACCCACACCCCAAAAAATGGAGGGAGCAGAGATAATGCAGGAGGCAAGGTGTTTATCTTGCATGTAGTTGACACAGATTGGATCTCAGGAACTGGATATGGTCCCCTGAGCACCACCAGGGATCATTCCTGAGCACAGAAAAATCAGAAATAGCCCCTGAGCACTGGCAGCGTGATCCCACAAAACAATCAACAAACAAAAACTAGGTTAATTTTAAGACTGGTGTGATAGTACAACAGGGAGGGTGCTTGCCTTGCATGTGGCTGACCCTGATTCAATCTGAAGCACCCCAAATTGTCCCCTGAGTCCTGCCAGGCATCACCCCAGAACACAGAGCCAGGAGTAAGACCTGAGGACAGCTGGTTTTAGCTCCAAAAATATTTTAAAGGGTTAATTTTAAGATATTTCACTGGACCCAGTATGTCCAATATAGAGTCCATAAATATTTAATTACATTTATACATTTTAAGGGTATGCAAATAGTATTAAAAAATTTTTGTTGGGGCTGGAGCGATAGCACAACGGGTAGAACGTTTGCCTTGCACGTGGCCAACCTGGGTTCGATTCCTAGCATTCCATATGGTCCCTCAAGCACCACTAGGAGGAATTCCTGAGTGGAGAGCCAGGAGTAACCCCTGTGCATCACTGGGTGTGACCCAAAAAGCAAAAAAAAAAAGAATTTTTTTGTTGTTCTAAATTTACTGCTATAGAAGTGTGACTGAGTTTTGTGTCCTAGAATCCTGGCAAGCCTATTTACTGATTCTAGAAGATTTTTGTAGCTTCTTAGTGATTTTCTTGCAGATGGTCATGTCACGAGGACATGAAGATAGAGACATTTCTTCTGGTACTATCTATCTGTGATAGCACAGGGGGTAAGGCGGACAACCCGGGTTCGATTCCTCCATCCCTCTCAGAGAGCCCGGCAAGCTACCAAGAGTATCCTGCCCACATGGCAGAGCCTGGCAAGCTCCCTGTGGCATATTCGATATGCCAAAAACAGTAACAACAAGTCTCACAATGGAGACGTTACTGGTGCCCGCTGGAGCAAATTGATGAACAACAGGAGGATAGTGCTACTCTCTCTCCGTATACCATGTTTCTTTTTCTTGCCTTATTGCATTAGCTAGGACTTCTGATACAGTTCTGAGATGGATTGGAAGAAGTGCCAGCCTTTCATCACTGAATATGGCTTTCACCGTGGGTTTTGTAGCTGCCCTTTATTGGGGTGAGGGGTTCCCATCTCTATTTTATTAAGAGTTTATTATCACTAGAGGTCAAATTTTATTACAAATTTTTTGTTTATTTACTCTGGGGTCATATCTGTCTGTACTCAGGGCTTACTCCTGTCTCTGCACTCGGGGATCACTTCCCGTGGGATCACTTCCGGTGGGCTCTGGCTACCCCATGGGTGCTGGAGATTGAACCCACGTCAGCAAGCACCCTACCTGTGGTGCTATTGCTCTGGCCGCTATCAAATGTTTTTTTCTTTCCTTATTTAAGTAGTGTTTCTTAAAATTATTAATATATAGATTATATTAATTAGGTATCAGTCAGCTTCATATTCCAAGAATAAATTCTTTTTTTTTTTTTGCTTTTGGGGTCACACCCGGCAATGCACAAGGGTTACCTCCTGGCTCTGCACTCAGGAATCACCACTGGCAGTGCTCAGGCACCATATGGGATGCTGGGAATCGAACCCGGATCGGCTGTGTGCAAGGCAAATGCCCTACCCGCTGTGCTATTGCTCCAACCCCCAAGAATTGGTAGATTTTGAATGTAGAATTTTTAGTTACGGGGTTGCATCTAGTCGTGCTTGGGGAGCCTTGCAAGTGTCAGGGATTGAGCCCGGGTCTCCTGCTTGCAAAGCATCCTTCCCTGTGCCCATGGAGCTATCTCTGCCGCCAGTGTATTTTAGCTTTAAATGTTTGGTAGAGGGGGGCTGGAGCAATAGCATAGCAGGTAGGGCATTTACCTTGCACACGGCGGCCCGGGTTCGATTCCCAGCATCCCATATGGTCCCCTGAGCATCGCCAGGAGTGATTCCTGAGTGCATGAGCCAAGAAGTAACCCCTGATCATCATCGGGTGTGACCCAAAAAGCAAAAAAAAAAAAAAGGAAAATTTGCCAGTGATACTATATAGTCTTGGATAGTTCTTTATTTCTTTTCTTTTTTACTCCTTTTTTTTGTGGGGGAGGGGCACACCTGGCAGTGCTCAGGGGTTAACTCCTGGCTTTGTGCTCAAGAATCTCTCCTGGCAGTGTTTTAGGGGACCATATGGGATGCCGGGGATCAAACCTGGGTTGGCAGCATGCAAGGCAAGTGCCCTCCCGGCTGTACTGTGACTCTGGCCCCTTGGAAGCTTTATTTCAAACTCTGAATTCCCTTCACTTCCCTGTTACAGGATACTCAGGCCATCTCTTTCATCTTAACTAAATTTTGGTCGTTCTTTAAAGAATCGGTTCATTTGTCTAAAGGGAGTGCGTGTCCATAGTGTCTCTCCTTTTTTCTCTCTCGGGGTCAGTGATGCCAGCCCCTCTCTATGGTCGTGGCCCCGGGGTTTCACAAACACTGTGGGGATGACAGGGGTCACATGTGGCAATATGAGGGGTTGCTGGGATCGAACTCAAGGCCTCACATGTGCAAGGCATGCAATCTATCACCGAGTCGCATCCGGGGCCCCTTTCTTGATGTTAGTCATTTTTGTCTTTGTTAGTCTGACAAGAAACTGATTTTATTTGTTTATTGCTTTTTGGGATCACACCCGGTGATGCACAGGGGTTCCTCCTGGCTCTTCACTCAGGAATCACTCCTGGCAGTGCTCAGGGGACCATATGGGATGCTGGGAATCGAACCCGGGTTGACTGCGTGCAAGGCAAACGCCCTACCCGCTGTGCTATCACTCCAGCCCCAAGAAACTGATTTTAGATTTCTTTTTTTTTGGGGGGGGGCCACATCCAGTGATGCTCAGGGCTTACTCCTGGCCCTGTGCTCAGGGATCACAGTGGTGCTTGGGATCCCTCCTGGTGGGGCTCAGGGACCCTATGGGGTCCCAGATCAGGGCCTGCGAGACACGTGCCCTGCCTGCCATACTATTTCTCCAGCCCTGATTTTCGACTTTCCAAAGAAAACCTTCCGCCAGATCTATCCAAAACTGTCTCGTTCAACATGTCATTGCTATAAAAGACAATCTATGAGCTGTTCCACGTTCCTTTTCCCACTCTGTGAAATTCTGGTGTCTTACCAAGGCAGCCCATCTCAGCCACAGTGGGGTGCTCAGAGGGGCCCGCGTGTGGTGGGGGGGGGCTCTGCTTTCTGGCCTAGTCTTGCATGCCTTGTACTCGACCCCAGCATCCCCCCTCTCTCATGAGCCCCCCACGCCCCCTCGGAGTTGGCTTGCGCTGCTTCCTGCATGCTCTGTGGTCCTGATCGTAGCCTGTCTGCCCCAGGGTCACTGGTCTCCTCAGGAGTTTATCTCTAGCCCGCCTGGCCTCCCCCTTTCCCTCCCAAGTGCGGCCTCCACAGCCCTATCTCTGTCCATCTGGACCAGTTGGACTTGGGTATCGGAAGTGGTTGGAAGGCCCCGCTGGGGGGGAGGGGTGCTGGAGGAGTTTGGGGAGCCTCCTTGTGGATTGGATTGGCCCTGCCCCCTGCCCCGCCTCTGTGCCCTCTCCTCATGCCCCTCTCTCTCTGCCCCCAGGGAAAAGTCCCATTCGTGGCTGAGCACGGGCTGGTTCACCATGGTGATCGCGGTGGAGTTGTGTGACCACGTGCATGTCTACGGCATGGTCCCCCCCGACTACTGCAGGTGAGCTTCCCCCCACCCCCCAGCAGCACCTAATCACTGACCTCAGTATGGAGCTGGAGACTTGGGTGGGGGTGGGGGTGGAGCCCCTGTTTCATGATGTTCATAGATCTAGGCTCCTAGGCTGGACAGTGGGGAGGGCGCTTACTTTGCATGTGGCTGAGCTGGGTTCAATCCCCAGCACCCCATCTGCGCTCCCAGGCACATAGGAGTGATCCCAGAGCACAGAGCCAGGAGTAAGGCGCCTGAGCACAGCTGGGTATGACCGAAAAAAGAACAAGAAAAGAAAAAAAGATCCAGGCAACTCAGAGCTGCCTTGGGGGCCTTCACCCCAAATTTAGCCAGAGTTTATTATTATTATTATTATTATTATTATTATTATTATTGTCACTGACCTCCCGTTGTTCATCGATTTGCTCCAGCGGGCCCAGTAACGTCTCCATCGTGACACTTGTTACTGTGTTTTGGCATATCGAATAGTCACAGGTAGCTTGCCAGGCTTGCTGTGTGGGCGAGATACTCTTGGTAGCTTGCCAGGCTCTCCGAGAGGGGCGAAAGAATCGAAACTGGGTTGGGCAGGTCAGCCGTGTGCAAGGCAAATGCCCTACCCGCTGTGCTATCGCTCCAACCCCAACGTTGTTATTATTATTATTATTATTATTTTATTATTTTGTTATTATTATTATTATTATTATAAAAGCCTCCTGGGTAATAGCTGTTCTTTAGCGAGTGCTACCCAGGTGCATTTAACCTCTTTTACTCCTCACTGCGACCTTAAGCGACAGTTAATTACTCCAGCCATTTCAGAGATGAAAATAACCAAGGGGCCCTTTTGTGAAAGGCCTTAGGGCTCACTTGCAGTAAGAGGTGGGTGAAGCTCCAGTTTATTAAGGAAAAAAAAAGTGTTTTTATTTTTTTTGCTTTTGGGGTCACACCTGGCCATGCACAGGGCTTCCTTCTAGCTCATGCACTCAGGAATCACTCCTGGCGGTGCTCGGGGGACCCCGTGGGATGCTGGGAATCGAACCCGGGTCGGCCGCATGCAAGGCAAACGCCCTCCCCGCTGTGCTATCGCTCCAGCCCCAAATGTCTTGTCTTAAACTCGTCCATCCTGCACCCCTTTTTACAGGTGGGAAAACCGAAGGCCAGGGAGGGGCAGGCATTGCCAGGGTCCGGCCGGGGCGGGGGGCGGGGTGGGGGGCGACCCGGCTCACGGCTCATCCTCTGCCCCAGCCAGCGGCCCCGCCTGCAGCGCATGCCCTACCACTACTATGAGCCCAAAGGGCCCGACGAGTGCGTCACCTACGTCCAGAACGAGCACAGCCGCAAGGGGAACCACCACCGCTTCATCACCGAGAAGAGGGTCTTCTCGTCCTGGGCCCAGCTCTACGGCATCACCTTCTCCCACCCGTCCTGGACCTAGGCTGCCGGCCAGTGGGGTCCAAACCACAGCCCCGGAGAAAGCACGCGGCCCTCGGCCCCGCCCCCGCGGCCTCGTCTGGGCCAATCAAGGCCGGCCCGGGTGGCCCTCGGGCCAATCAGGCTCCGGGCGGCGGCTATCTTCCGGCCAATCAGCACCTGCGGGGCGTCTCGTGGCCAATCAGGGATTTGGGCTTGGATGTGGCCGATCAGGGGTGTCGGGGTGATTCTCGTTAAGTCAGGGTCTGAGTACAGTGAATCAGGGTATTTCTGAGGAATCCGAGGCTAAGGACACGACTTTTCCCATGAGGCCTTGGGTTCAGCGCCCCTCCGTGGGCCCCCAAATCACTTCCCGTGCGTGGGCTGGGACCTGGGGGTCTTCCCGGGAACTGGGAACGCAGCATCGCTCCTCACTTCCCAGCACCTGAACGTGAAATCGTGGGGGTGGGCCCGGCAGCGGGAAGGCAGGTATCCGGATCCCGCTCTGCCTTTCCGGGCTGGGCTGGGGACCGGCTCTTGGTTCTGCTCCCTGAGCCCGTGGACCTCCTTCCTGCTCTGGGGGGGTCCAGTGGACCCCCCCCCCCCGACCTCCCCCCTCCTCACCGGCTGCCTTGGGTCAGTCCTGAGACTGGATGCGTCCAGTCCGCCCTCTCGGGAGCTTCCTTCCCACCCAGAAACATGAGGGTATCTTTTTTTTTTCTTTTTTTTTTGCGCACTTTCCCCGGTTTGGGGAACTGGCAGGAAGGAGAGACCCTTTAGCTCTGATCTTAGCCTCTCAGCCTTTAGTTTGGCTCTTAAAGAGCCAGGCCCCCCTTCCTGCTACCATCCCGCTCCCTCCTGCCTCCGGAGGAGCCTTGGGGGCTGAAACTGGGTCTCATGCAGCCCCTGTCTGCTGCTGGAGGCTTCCCAGGGTCTCCCAGAGTGCTGGGCCTGGAAGGCTCGAGGGGGCCTGGAGCAGTGTCTTTACCCCCGCCCCTACCCCCACCCCCCCTTCCCTATCAGGCACTTTAATTTGGGTCTCCCCTGCTCTTCTGGACCTGGAAGGGAAGACTGGAGTGCTTCCTGGAGGAGGTGCGGAGCGGGGAGAGGTCCAGGGGAGAATGTGGAGGTCTGCAGCGAACCATTGCACATTGGGGTGGGGTGGGGGGGCCCGCCAGTTCCCCGACTTGATTTTGTAATGATTTGTACAGGAATAAATGCTCCTGAGTTCCCGTTCGCTGTCTGTGTCTCTGGCATCATCTCGGGGCTTCTGGGGCTGGGGGTGGCGAGCTCCTGTGGGGGTTCGGAGCCAAACTACACCCCCCCCCCAGCTTTTCATGGTGCCTAAAATAAAGCAAACAGAAGAGGCACTGCATTCGGGAAGAATCTTCCTCTGTCTGCAACCAGAGATGCAGGGGAAGGGCACGAGATTCCCCTTCTCCCCCACCCCCAGCTTCTCTCTGCCTGTCTGTGTTGGGCAAGTGACTCCACCCTTGGGGTCAGGTACTACGGCGGGGAGGGGTCCCAGATCCCCCAGGGGGGAGAGGGACCCACCGTGGGGGCCTGTCTTGACCTGCCACTCAGAACAGCAGAGATGATGCAGATGCAGACACAACCCCTGTGAGAGGGACTCTCTGAGGGTGTGAGAAGAGCAGGGTGGGGAGCCCAGCCGCGGGGAGGAGCCGGGAGATGGCGGTGGGGGGGGCAGACAGGGGTTCATGCCGGGAGGGGGGAGCTTGGGGCTGGGAGCCACCGTGTCGCCTGGCCAGGCTGATCCTCTGGGGCTGGTTGGCGAGAGTCCCTTTGAGGACTTGTTGGGGCAGGAGGCAAGGCTGTGAGTCTTCAGAGATTACAGACTGTCGCAGCGATAAGATGCCCTCGGGAGCCTCACAGAGAGAGGCCTGGCACCTGGGCAGGCGGGCAGGCGGGAAAGAGAGCCCTCTGGGCACGCGGCCAGCAGGAGGAGGGCCACCCGCCGAGCGGCACCCTGCCACCCTACAAGCTTGGTTCACATAGCTGTTCTCCCCAGGGCGGTGTCCTGCCTTGGCTTCCTGATGCATCTGGGGGGGGAAAGGGGGGCTGGCCAGGCCATCAGTAGCCCAGCCGGGGGCCCAGGTGGGGGCAGAACCTCCGCTCCTCCCTTCTCTTTGCACCTGGGCAGGGCACTGGGAAGTTGCTGGATCCAGGGTTGCCAGGACAGGGTGATGTGGGTCGGGGGGGGGGGGGGGGCGACCTGAAAGCCTTGCAAAGTCCCTACATGTGGAGCTCCAGCCCTGTGGACTGGGGAAGGGGAATCTCGTGCCCTTCCCCTGCATCTCTGGGCGCAGACAGAGGAAGATTCTTCCCGAATGCAGTGCCTCTTCTGTCTGCTTTATTTTAGGCACCATGTGTCCAGTGCTGTTAATGATAGGGTTCCGTGAGTCCGTGAGTCGCAGATTCCAGAACCGCACCCTCCTCCCAGTGACCACTTCCCTCCACAGGAAATGCAGTGGGGGAGGTGCATGAGGCTGGGGCGGGGGTATTGCCACTGTCGGTGGACCTGGATGGTTCATTTTATTTATTTTTAATTTTTTTTTAAATACTGTTTTTGCTTTTGTTTGGGGGTCACTGTTGGCGATGCTCAGGGCTTACTCCTGCCTCTGCCTCAGGAATTACTGCTGGGGGCTGGAGCAATAGCACAGCCGGTAGGACGTTTGCCTTGCACGCTGCTGACCGGGGTTCAATTCCCAGCATCCCATATGGTCCCCTGAGCACCGCCAGGGGTAATTCCTGAGCACAGAGCCAGGAGTAATCCCTGTGCATTGCCGGGTGTGACCCAAAAAGCAAAAAAAAAAAAAAACTGAAGGTGCTTAACGCTCAGCAAATGCAGTAATCTGTTTTGACCAGTTTAAACCAGTTTCTGAGTTTTTTTTTTTATTTTAATACCAGTTCAATATCTCAGGACCAAACCCAGGCATACTACACGTAAGACATGCTCGCTAGCATGTGAACCAGCTCTTCAGTAGTTCTTTAGATTTTCAAGTTAATTTGGGGACATAAAAAACACATAACATTTACTTACTGTTCAAGGCCAAAGCAAGAATACAGCAAGTAGAGCACTTGCCTTGCACATGGCCAACCCAGGAGCACAGAGCCAGGAGTAAGCCCCTGAGCACTGCCAGGTGTGGCCCAAAAAGCAGAACAAAAAAAATTACTTAAATCATAATGATTTAATTTTTTTATTGTATATTTGGTCATAACCATTTTTTGGGGGGTCACACCCAGATATGCTCAGGGGTTACTCCTGGCTCTGCACTCAGGAATTACCCCTGGAGCGACCATATAGGATGCTAGGGTTTGAACCCGGGTCGGCCGCGTGCAAGGCAAATGCCCTACCTGCTGTACTATTGCTCCAGCCCACGTCATAACCATTTTAAAGTGAATTTAGATTTCTTTGGTTATTTTTCCTGGTTTCTGGGCCACACATGGGTCCTTAGGGCTTACTCCTGGCTCTGTGCTCAGGGACCACTCCTGGTGGTCTCAGGAAACCCTAAACAGTGCCAAGACTAAACCTGGATTGGCCACATGCAGGGTCTCACCCATTGGACCATCTCTCTGGCCCTAGTGAAAAGTAGTTTTACCTTGTGAAACAGATTTCTAGAACTTTCCTCTTATAACTCTGAGCCCCTCTCCTCTATAGGATACCTCCTCCGCTGGCCCAGGTAAGCAGGGTTCCACATTCTGTTCACTGACTCAAGTGCTTTGGATAAGTAGAACCATGCACTCTGCTTTTTTTCTGACTGGCTTATTTCACTCAGCTTAATGCCTGCAAGGTACATTGGTGTTAAAATGGTAGCACTGTAGCACTGTCCTCCTGTTGTTCATCGATTTGCTCGAGTGGGCACCAGTTACGTCTCCATTGTTGTTACTGTGTTTGGCATATCGAATATGTCATGGGTAGCTTGCCAGGCTTTGCCCTGCGGACGGGATACTCTCAGTAGCTTGCCGGGCTCTCTGAGAGGGATGAAGGAATCGAACCCGGGTTGGCCACATGCAAGGCAAGCGCCCTACTTGCTGTGCTATTGCTCCAGCCGTTAAAATGGTACCAGAATAAAGTAATAGATTTTTTTGTGGACCAGAGACAGAACATGGGTGAGTAGATGCTGGCCTTGCATGTATCTGAGTCTGATTCAAATTCCTGCCCCACAGAGGGTCCCCTGAGTCCCGCCAGTGCCTCTGGGTGTGCCCCCCAACACCAAAACCAAACCAAAAAAAAAAACTGGAAAGAGACTTTGTTTTTATTTATTTTGCTTTTCGGGTCACACCCAGCGATGCACAGGGGTCATTCCTGGCTCTGTACTCAGGAATTACCCCCGGGAGTGCTCAGGGACCCTATGGGATGCTGGGAATCGAACCCGGGTTGGCCGAGTGCAAGACAAACGCCCTACCCACTGTGCTATCGCTCCAGCCCCTGGAAAGAGACTTTAAAGCGGCCCACACTCTGCTCATTGAGAGTGATTGGCAGGAAGGCGGGAGCAGATGGGCACAGCTCACGTTTTGCCCATTTCTCATCCATTTAAGTCCAGGAGCTGTTTGCAAGGACACAGGACTCAGTGTCCTTCCACAGGCCTCAGTGTCCTTTCTCCTGCTGTTCCTGCACCGGATCTCCGCCATACCTGGCAGTACCACCCTCCTCCTCCCGTTCGTCTGTCCCCACTGGCTAGAGAGAGTCACCCTGTACACACTGGTGCCCACGTGTGGGATCCGAAAATAGAAGGCAAACATGAGTGATTCTGACTGGCGCCATGCACTTGCTTTCCCCAGAGTCTGTACCAGCACACACACCATCTGCAGCCCGAGAGAAAGTCCTTCAAACACCCTGCAGAGTGGGGCTGCGGTGATGGCACAGCGGGCAGGGCACTGCCATGCGTCTTGGCAGCTTGGTTCAATCCCCAGCACCACTTTTGATTTCCTGAACCCTTCTGGGACTGATCCCTGTGAGCACAGAGCCAGGAGTCAGCCCTGGGCACTGCCGGGTGTGGCCCCAAACAAAAGCCAACCAAATGAAACAATTTCCAGTGCAGCCCCCCGCCCCCAAGACCGGAAACCCGGGTCCCAGGAAATAGGCTCTTGGGACCAGGGAGATAGATAATACAGTGGGTAGGACTCTTGCCTTGCACGTGACAGATGCAGGTTCGATCCCCAGCATTCCCTGAGCAACACCAGGAGTGATTCCTGAGAGCAGACCCCTTGAGCATCGCTGCTGCTGTGAGGCCCCCAAAAACCCAACAAACAAGAAGTAGACTCTTGTGTGAAGTTCCAGGAAACAGCTGGGACCAACCCAAGCTTCTGGTGTCCTGGCTGCCCCCTAGAGGGGCTTCCTCTTCTAGGACCTGCTCAGACTCATTCCAAGGGTCCCTCGTGCCGAGGAGACAAATTCAGAATTCTGGACCGGAGCAATAGCACAGCAGAGAGAGCATTTGCCTTGCACGCGGCTGACCTGTGTTCGATCCCTGGCATCCCATAGGGTCCCCTGAGGCTCGCCAAGAGTGATTCCTGAGTGCAGAGCCAGGAGGAACACCTGAGCATCACCGGGCGTGACCCAAAAGGGAAAAATCGCATTGATGATGTGGGCTAGGGTGAAGGGTCTGAGCTGCGGACTCCCGGTCTCATTACCCAGCTCCTGTGCAGGCCAGACTCATCATGTTCTCCCGGGGAGCCTCAAGGTCGTCTGTCTGAGCGATGAAAATCTCCCTTTACTTCTCACTCTGAAAGGTTCTCAGGGGTGGCTGAAGTTCAGAGCCCACAGGGCACCTGGCTCCAGGTGAGTGTTCGAGTTCTGATTTCGGGGGCTGCTCCTGGCATGGTGCTGGGGGCGTGGTGGGTGATGGGTTGCTTCCAGTGTGCTTGGGGGCGCTGGGGATCACACATGCAACTCCTGCATGGAAACTTGTGCTCCCATGGGAGACCTATGGGATGCTGGGAATCGAACCCAAGTCGACCACATGCAAGACAAACACCCTACCCGCTGTACTATCACTCCAGCCCCTGGTGTTGGTGTTTGTTTTTTATTTTATTTATTTATTTTTGCTTTTTGGGGTCACACCTGGCAATGCACAGGGGTAACTCCTGGCTCTGCATTCAGGAATTACTCCTGGCAGTGCTCAGGGGACCCTATGGGATGCTGGGAATCGAACCCGGGTCGGCCGCGTGCAAGGCAAACGTCCTACCTGCTGTGCTATTGCTCCAGCCCACTGGTGTTTTTTTTTTTTTTTTTTTTTTATTGAATCACTGTGGGAAAGGTTACAAAGCTTTCAGGTTTATGTCTCAGTCATGCAAATATCAAACACATTTCCCTTTACCAATACTTATTTTTTACCATGAAGAACCCCAATAAAACCCCACCCCCTACCCCTCCCCGTCCCTGTGAGGCAGATGAATTCTAGTTAACACTCTATCTGCTTTAATTAGATTCATTGTTTCAATAAAAGATTCACCACTATTATTTAGAGTTTACCCCCCCCCCAAATCAGACATGCTGAAAAAGCATTGTGAAGTGATTTGCTTTCTACGGCTGGGTTCAAGAATTAAATGTTGGTTTTGGATTTCTGCTCTTTTACCTTTTAAATCAGGGTCATTGGCCCTATCTGGGTTCCTACAGTGCTCTGAATGCCTGGTGCTTGCCTCCACAGGGAGAAGGGGCACAGAGCTGAGGTGGGTTTTTTTTTTGTTTTTTTTTCAGTGTTTCACACCTGTCTGTGCTCAGGCCTTACTCCTTGGCTCTGTGCCCAGGAATCACTCCCTGGTGCCCGGGGAATTGTGATTGATGCGGGAATGAATCTTCCGCTAGCGCTTCCGTGCACAGAGCTGAGTTTTTTCATCGTTGCAGTTGCTCAATTGGGTGACAGGTGTCTTTGGAATCTTTGGAAGTTCCGGGGAGGTTCAGTCCCCAAGGAATTAGGTCTTAGTTTGGTTTGGGGGGGTTGCATCTGGCAGTGCTCAGAGATGACTCCCGGAGGTGTTCAGGGGGCCTGAGCCTGGGCCTCCATCACGTAGATTCCTGCACTAGCACTTGGAACCACCTCCGGAATGAGTTCTCTGGGTCTCCTCCCCAAAAGGGTGGAATCCCCTGGAGTGGATGGGGGCCAGGCGCCTCTGAGCTGAACCTGCGGGCACCTGTATAGTCCAGGCTGGCTCCCACTGGGCCCTTTCTTCCAGCCCCAGCTGGCACCCAGATGATGACATGGCAGGCCCTCCCTCCCCCCCTACAGCCGCCCTGCAGGAGGGAAGCACTTTCCTTTACCCCTGGAGAGAGAGCAGGTAGTGAGAGCCCTCTGCAAGGGGGGGTTGGGTTGGTACAGGTTGGGGGGGAGGGGGAAGGTGAGGGTGTGAGGGAGGGGCCTCGGGTGCTGGGGGATGTGAGGGCGCCCTGGGTGGGGGGACTATGCTGGCCTGGAGGGTGCCAAGGGGGTGGTAGGGGTGAGGGGATGCCCCTGAGTGGGCTGATCCGGGGTGCTGGGTGCGGGAGGGGGGCGGTGCGGGGGGGGGGCGGGGGGAAGCTGAGTGGGGGGAGCTGGATGCGGTCACAGGGGTTGGGGTGCCAAATGCGGGGGGCGGTTGGGGGGGCGAGTACGGGGGTTGTGAGGGGCCAGGTGTGGTCCCGGGGGCTGGGGGGGCCGGGTGCGGGGGGGGGGGCGGCTGGATGCGGGCACGGGAGGTTGGGTGGGGCCGGGTGCGGGGATGCGAGGGACCGGGTGCGGACTGGGTGGGTGCGGGGGCCGGGTACGGGGGGGCCGCGTGCGATCTCGGGGATGCGGGGGGCCGAGTGCGGGGCGCGGGGGGCGGGGCGTGGGTTGGCTGAATGGGGGCACGGGGGTTGATGGGGGGTCGGGTGCGGTCCTGGGGACGTGGGGGGGGACCGCATGCGGGATTGCGGGGGGCCAGGTGCGGTCCCGGGGCTGCGGTGGGGGGTCGGGGGGGGTGCGGGGGGGGCTGGATGCGGGCACGGGGGTTGATGGGGGTCCGGGTGCGGGGTGCGGGGCGCGGGGCTGCGGGGGGGGTCGGGTGGGTGCGTGGGGAGCTGGACGCGGGCACGGGGGTTGATGGGGGGTCGGGTGCGGTCCTGGGGACGCGGGGGGGACCGCGTGCGGGATTGCGGGGGGGCCAGGTGCGGTCCCGGGGCTGCGGTAGGGGGTCGGGCGGGTGCGGGGAGTGCTGGATGCGGGCACGGGGGTTGATGGGGGGTCGGGTGCGGTCCTGGGGACGCGGGGGGGGGGACCGCGTGCTGGATTGCAGGGGGGCCAGGTGCGGTCCCGGGGCTGCGGTGGGGGGTCTGGGGGGTGCGGGGGGGCTGGATGCGGGCACGGGGGTTGATGGGGGTCCGGGTGCGGGGTGCGGGGGGCCGGGTGCGGGGCGCGGGGCTGCGGGGGGGGTCGGGTGGGTGCGTGGGTAGCTGGACGCGGGCACGGGGGTTGATGGGGGGTCGGGTGCGGTCCCGGGGATGCGGGGGGGGACCGCGTGCGGGATTGCGGGGGGCCAGGTGCGGTCCCGGGGCTGCGGTGGGGGGTCGGGCGGGTGCGGGGAGTGCTGGATGCGGGCACGGGGGTTGATGGGGGGTCGGGTGCGGTCCCGGGGATGCGGGGGGGGACCGCGTGCGGGACTGCGGGGGGCCGGGTGCGGTCCCGGGGCTGCGGTGGGGGGTCGGGGGATGCGGGGGGGCTGGATGCGGGCACGGGGGGTGATGGGGGACCGCGTGCGGGACTGCGGGGGGCCGGGTGCGGTCCCGGGGATGCGGGGAGGACCGGGTGCGGGGCGCGGGGGCGCCGGGTGCGGCCCCGGGGCCGCGGGGGTGCCCAGTGCTGGGGGGGCCGGCCCCGCCCGCCCCGCGCCCCTCCCGCCGCGCCGCCCGCCCGCGCCTCCCGGCATGCCGCGCGCTGACAGCCGTATAAGTCGCGGCCTCGGCGGCGGCGGCGGCAGGACGCGCAGGGCACGCGCGGCGCCCCGCGCCCACCCGCACCCAGGTCAGTGCGCCGCGGGCGGGCGGGGCGCGGCGGGCGGCGGGCGGCGGGCGGCGCGCGGTCCCCGCGGTGGCGGGCGTGTCCCGGGCTCGCCGCCCGCCGGGCGAGGCCCCCGTGCCAGTGGGCGTGTGCGCGCGGCGGGTCGCGGACAGTGGCCCTTTGTCCGGGGGCGCCGGCCCCTGCCCTTGGCGCGTCCTGCCCGCGGCCCGGGAGGCCCGCCCGCCGCCGCGTCCTCGGGGAGCCCCGGGAAGGGCCCCGCCGGGCCCCCGCCGCCCCGGCTGCGCGGGGGTCTCTCCTGATCAGCCCCTCCCCCGTCCAGGACTCGGCCTGGGGTGCGGGTCGTCCTCCCCCGCGGTGGGGCCGGTGCAGCCGCCCAAGACCCTCCCCCTCTTTGCGGCTGCTGTTCTGCCTCGGCCGGCCGGACCCTCTCCGCTTGGGTGGGCGTCAGTCAGGTCCCCCCGCAGACCCCCAGCCGGCGAGGGCCCCTTCCAAGGCCTGCTGCGGGCCTGTAACCCAACTCTGCCCTGGACCCTGGGTCCCGGCGGGGCCTCCTCACCGCCCCAAGCTATTTTGGCTCCGAGAAGTGGCAGGTGCCGCCAGGACCGAGGGACTTGGGTTACAGGGGGGGTGGGCAGCGTGGGGTTGAAGGAGGCTGTCCCTGCCGGTCACTGCAGGCCGTGTCCCCCTGCAGAGGCCCCGGGCCTGCCAGCTCCTGCCCGGCCGCCAGCACCCCCTGGGCAAGGAGGAGGCTGTAAGTCAGGCCCTGGGCATCAGGGAAGCCGGTGCCAGGCCCAGCCCCAGAGGAGCAGACAGCTCAGCCCCTGCCAGGAGGCAGCCCTGCCCAGAAGCCAGTCTGGGCCCCCAGCCCAGGGAGGCTGGGAGGATGGAGGGAACCCCCACCCCCTTGCAAGCCCTCTGTTCTGGGGTGGGCCGGGCCCCCTGGCGGTCACAGGGGGACACAGGCCTGCAAAGGGCGGTAGAAGCCCCCAGAAGGCAGGAGTGGAGATTTTGCTAAGTCCGGCAAAATCTAGAAAGCCTTCGTGAAAGAGGCGACACCAAAGCCAAACCTAAAAGCTAGCATCTGCCACACGCCCAGGGTCCCGGAGGCAGTCCAGTCCTGGGGACCCCGGCAGTTCCGGTGACTGATAAGACTCTAACAGTGCCACAGCCAGGCCTCCAGGGCCCTGGCACCTGCCGTGAGGGCCCAGGCCTTGCCACTGGCAGGGAGGGCCACACTGTGGCCGGGTTTGATCTGTGGCTTTGGAGGAGATTCCCGCTGATGCCCCTGGGGTCTCTAGGGGGGCCTAGGAGAGGGGTGGGGGGCAGCTGAGCCAAGTTCATGGGGTGCAGGTGATGGGATGAGCGTACGCCATGGACCCCCACCCCCCCATGGGAAATGCTAAAGGGTTGAGCCCAGCGCTTCCTCACGGCGGGGTGGGTGGGTGCTGTGTCCCCGGGAGCGTCTGTGGCAGCCAGGCCCCTGGAGGACTTAGCCTCCAGCCCCGGGGAGCGTTGCCACGGAGCCTGGGACGCAGATCCATCCCCTGTGTCCTGACACTTGCTGCGGGGGGGGGGGGGGGGGGGTGCGGGCGGGCATTCACCCGCTGCCTGACCACAGCAGAGGACACGGCCTGCTGGCCCTTAGGATTGGCGAGGTGACACCCCCCCAGCCGTGCAGCTTGTGGGGCCTCTCTGCCCCATGGTCCCCTCCCGTCCCCTCCCCAACCGGCTGCCTTCGCGTGATTGCAGAGGTGGGGGGTGAGGCTCAGCCTGCCGTGACCTGTGTCTTGCAGAGCGCTGACTCGGACCGCCCCCCGGAGGGCACAGACGCAGGATGGAAGGTACGCAGGCGCCTGGTGTCCCGGCCGCGGGGTGGTGCCAGCCCCCAGTGTCATTTTAAACGCGCTTCCCTCCCACGCTGGTATTTATAGAGCCAGTGCTGCCTTTTCTGGCGAGGGTGGGCGAGGGGCCCTGGCCGGGGCGGGGGTGGGGTGGGGAGTGGCCCTGAGGATTCTTTGCTCATTGGTTTTTAGACCACACCTGGCGGTGCTCAGGGATCACTCCGGGGGGGGGGGGCCAGGGGACCCCTGCGGGTGCTGGAGCTCGACCGGGTTGGCCCCATGCCAGGCAGCGTCTGCCTGGTGTCCTTTCGCTCTGGCCTTGCATACTCTAAGTGCCTGTGGCTCTCTGTGGCTCTCTGTGACTCAGTTTCCCTGGTGTCCCCGGTTTGTGGCCCTGAGGGAGTCTTGGGCATCTCTGGCTTCGGGCACTGGGACTGAGAAGCACGTGGGGTGGGCCAAGTGCCGGCTGGCCCGGCTCCTGGTGGCATGACCGTTCCCACCCCTGGCGCCGTGCCTCTGCCCAGCCGCAGGTCTGCTGCCGCCTGATACCCAGGGCCCCCCACCCCCACCCGCAGCCGCTAAGCTGCGCCCTGGTTCCAGAGCCCTGAGTCTGGAGCTCCCTGGGGCCCAGGACCCCCTTCACGATCTTCTCACCCTGAGGCCCTGGTATTGCCTAGCCTGTGCTGTCTTGGGGAGCAGGGCTGGGGTGCGGAACCCTTTCCCATGGTGGGGAGACCTACATCCAGTGGTGCTCAGGGGCGATTCCTGTGCTCAGGAGTGACCCCTGGCGGGGGTCTGGGGCCCTGTGGGTGCCTGGGTAGAGCTGGGTGGGCCACCTGCAGGTCTTCTCCCCTGCTCTCCCCGAGTCCAGGGATTAGGGAACTAAAGCCACGCGGTGGGGGTGTGCCCAAGAAGAGGGGAGGCTTGGGGCTGGAGTGATAGCACAGCGGGCAGGGCATTCGCCTTGCACACGGCCCACCCAGGTTCAATTCCCAGCATCCCATAGGGTCCCCCGAGCACCTCCAGGGGTCATTTCTGCATGCATGAGCCAGGAGTAACCCCTCTGCATCACTGCGTGTGACTCAAAAAGATAAAAAAAGGAAGAAAAAGAGGGGAGGCTGGGTGTGACAGGCCTCAGTTTCCCTCTTGGGGCCTGTCACAACACACCAAGTGCCCTCGACTGCCCGAGGCGTGCCCTGTGGCTCAGGCTGTGCCCCCCCCCCCCCACTTTGCTCTCCCCTAGAAAAGCTGAAGAAAACCAAGATCATCTTTGTGGTGGGTGAGTACAGGCAGGGCCGGTGGGGGAGGGGTGTGTGCAGAGCCTGGGGGCCACCTCTCCCGGCGACCCCTTCCACCCACCCCCCACATACACTCACCCTTGGGTGGGTCTTTCAGGTGGGCCTGGCTCGGGCAAGGGCACCCAGTGTGAGAAGATTGTCCAGAAGTACGGTTACACCCACCTCTCCACCGGGGACCTGCTGCGGGCCGAGGTCAGCTCCGGCTCGGACCGGGGCAAGACGCTGTCGGAGATCATGGAGAAGGGCCAGCTGGTCCCGTTGGTGAGTGGGCGCTGGGGGGACAGTGTCCTTGAGTGGACACCAGCCCATGGCACACAGCAAGGATGATCGTGATCGTCTGGGGGGCCTCCACGACCCTTGGCAGCAAACTTTCCAGAAGCTGCCAAGCGCCTCTGTGCCGTGGGCAGCCCCGCCCTCCAGACTCACCCCTGCCCTCCCCTCCCCACCCTCCCCCTCCTCCCCGCCCAGCTGTCTGTCCTCCAGTGCCTGGTCTTTGTCACCCTCGCATTCCCGCCTGCCTGGAAGGTTCTTTCCTACACACCTTGCAGTTCTGACGTCTCAGATTTGGTCTAAGGCCACCCCTTCTACTTATTTTATTTTATTTTATTTGCTTTTCGGGTCACATCCGGTGATGCACAGGGGTTACTCCTGGCTCTGTACTCAAGAATCACCTCTGGCGGTGCTCAGCAGAGCCTATGGGATGCTGGGAATCGAACCCGGGTCGGCCGTGTGCAAGGCAAATGCCCTACCCGCTGTGCTATCGCTCCAGCCCCTTCTACTCATTTTATACATCCCTGTTTTCGTTTCCTCCCACCCCACATCATGCTTGGACATGAATAAGTCACCTGTGTCTGCCAGCAGTGTGGGGCCCAGGACGGGAGCAGGGTGGGGTGTGGGAAGGGCTCAGCCGGCATTATGGAGAAATGAAGAAATGCATGAACGGGGGCTGGAGCGATGGTAGAGCAGGGAGGGTGCTTGCCTTCACGCGGCCGACCCAGGTTCAATTCCCGGCATCCCACAGGGTCTCCAAGCATGGTCAGGAATGATCCCTCAGTTCAGAGCCAGGGGTAACTTACCCCTGAGCATTGCCGGGTGTAGCCCAAGAACCAAAAAAGCAAGAAGTGGATGGAGGAGCAGGTCTATCAACATGTCAGGGTCTCCCCTGGATAGTGAAGGCGGCCAGGCTGGGGTGGCAGCAGAGGAGCCTGGAAGGTGCGGGCAGAGGGGCTCAGGGCCCCCTCATGTGCCTCCTCCCCAGGAAACAGTGCTGGACATGCTTCGAGACGCCATGGTGGCGAAGGTGGACACTTCCAAAGGCTTCCTGATCGACGGCTACCCGCGGGAGGTGAAGCAAGGGGACGAATTCGAGCGGAAGGTGAGGCGCCCAGGGCCAGGCCCGGGACAGCCAGGCAGAGGATGCGAGAGGGAGTTCGGGTTTAGGGGCTGACGGGGTGGGAGGGCAGAGCTGCTGGGAAAGGAGGAAGCCAGGAAAGTGTTTTTGAAAGTCTTTCTGGGGCTGGAGCGATAGCACAGCGTTTGCCTTGCACGCGGCCGACCCGGGTTCAATTCCCAGCATCCCATATGGTCCCCTAAGCATGGCCAGGAGTCACCCCTGAGCATCGCTGGGTGTTAAAAGAAAAAAAAAATAAGAAAGTTTTTCTGGATGACAGGGATACTCAGGGGATTCCCAGCTGGAGGCGGGTTTCAGCTCCCTGACTGGGGCCCTGAACCCGCCATCCTGCCTCTCTGCACCTCCCTGGCCCCCTCTGCAAAATGCGAGAGACAATCGCAGATGGTTTGAGGGGCAGTATGGGTGGGTGGGGTGTGAATACCCAGTGGCACCTCATGGGCATACACTCCAGGGGCAGGGAAGAGCATGGACAGGGGGTGGAAGGGGCCAGAAAGGGCCAATTTGTGCAGAGAAGAGTGGCGGGGGGTAGGGCGGGCAGGGCTGAGTCGGGGGGAGGAGGTTCCGGCCTGGCAGGGCCTGTGCTGTCAGGAGTGCGGGGTGTGAGGGGGGAGGTCCTGGCTCCTTCCAGGACCCTCAGAGTGACTGCAGGGCCGGCCTGGGGAATGATGGTGCTGAGCTTCCTCAAACGGCTGCCTTAGGAACCCTGCCGTGGGTTCCACACACGTGCACACGGGACACCAAACACACACACGCCAGCACCTACAGGGATGGGAGGTCACAGCTGCGCACACACACAGGGAGACACACGTGTGCACACGTTGCTGGTGACATATGCAGGTATGCAGAGCCTGGACATAGGCAAGTACACGTAGACACATGCGTGCACGTGGCCAGAAATACGTGTCCAGGCACGTGGTACAGGGACACATGCATGTGCAGACACAGGCACAGGTGGCATCATGGGCTGCACCAGGAAACTGGGGGGCTCCTTCTGGGCCTCGCACATGGCCGGCAGGGTGGGCCCCCCCAGCCCCCTCCCCGCCCCGTGGAGACCATCCCAGCGCCAGCCTTGCCTTCCTGCACATTTGGTTGGTTGGTTTTTTGGCCCACACCCGGTCATGTCCAGGGCTGACTCCTGGCTCTGTGCTCAGGGGTCACTCCTGGTGATGCTCAGGGGAACACACGGGGGGCCGGGGATCGAACCCGGGTTGGCCATGGGCCAGGCAAGCACCCTGCACACGGTACTGTCACTCCAGCCTCACTCCTGCCTCTCCTGACCTCCCCCAGGGCTGTAGATCTCAAGCAAGTATCTGCCCTGCTCTGGGCCTCAGTTTTCCTGTCTGTGAAAGTGGGGGGCCAGCCAGACTTCCTTTTGATGGGGAGGCTATGGAGTTTATTGGCCAGAGGCTTGGCAGCTCCGAGACAAGGCCTACCCTGGCCCCTGCGGTGTGACGGTGTGACGCCGCCTCCCACCCTCAGGGCCAGTCCTAGGAAAAGGATTGAATGAAAATCAGGCTCCTTTTTTTTTTTTTAATTTATTGAATCACCATGAGAACAGTCACAAAACCTTTCAGTTCAAGTCTCAGTTGGTCATACAATGATCAAACACCCATCCCTTCACCAGTGCACATTTTCCACCACCAAGGACCCCAGTATACCCCCCCTCCCACCCACCCCCCGCCTGTGTGGCAGATTTCCACTTTTCTCTCTCTCTACGTTGATCACATTCAATATTACGACAAAAGACCCAACATTGTTATTTGGAATTTCCCCCAACATTCAGACCTGCCACAAAGACATTATTAGATAATTTGTTTTCTGTTGCTGATTATGAAGAGCATATGATGTCATGTGGCCACGATAGTGGCCACGCGAATTTGGATTTCTGATATTTTGGTTATAAGCCTAGAGGGTTTACTGTCAAAAGCGCCTGGGTTCCGAGATTGGTATGTGTGCCTCTGGGATCATGGTCGTTCAGAAGCTGGAGGAGGCGTTTGAGGCTGGCAACCCAGAGCATTGTCATGGCGGGGAGCAGGGCCGATTCCACCCCCCATCCCACGAGGCCCCTCGTGCCTCGTCAATGCAGTCTCCTACCTGGCTGTTCATTCGGCTCTAAAAGATGCAGGCCACCATGCCGCCGCCGCAAGGGGGGACAGGAGGAGGGACAGACACCCTTCCCCTCCCAGGGCGGCACAGCACCATAGTGAAATGCACAGTCCAGATGCATTTCGGTTGTCCATTCTGTTTTGCTTGGATTTTCTCACCTCCATTCAAGCCTGTTTTTCAGGGACAGTAAATGCTAGATCATTTACTTTCCATTGATCACTTTGCATATCAGGAACGCGGCCGCGTGGTTCGGAAAATAGTCCTGGTACCCGCATACTGGAGCCATGCTTGTAGAAGCTCATGGTCGCCAGGATTCCATCTGGAGAAGGCCAGGAGACAGCACCTACCCCATCTGTGGCTTTGCAAGACCTTCTCAGTGGCCTTCTGGGCCCTGGACACTAGAGGGCGCCAGAGCCTTCCTCCTGGCCTCTCCCTGCCTCCCCGGGGACGCGAGGGTCAGGCCAGGGGCACCGGGCGGCCGTCCTGCCCAGCGGCTCCCGGCTTGGCTGGGGAGAAGGGGTTGCCGGAGCCCTCCCAGAGGATAGCAGAGGGTCTGGAAGATCGTGTCCCGGGGGTGCTGGTGACTGGTGCTGTGAGCTCAAAACACGCAGGCATGCTTGAAGGCCGAGTGGGTTTGGTAGAATCAAGGAGTGAGCAGTGAGCAATGAGGAGCACTGGGCAGTGAGTCTGCCAGGCAGGGTGCTGGTGGGTCGGAGGGCACAGACTTCTCCTGTGTGCGTAGGGAAGCCATGTAGGAAGCAGTGGCAGGCTGGTTGGGAAGGGGTCGCCCGGGTGCAGGGAGGCCCCCCCAGGCTGCCTTGGGGACGGGCTTGAAGGTCTGGGGTCTGGAGTTGGGGCGGGCACGTGGCCCCAGGTGACCTGTCCCCCCACCCGCAGATCGGACCCCCCACGCTGCTGCTGTACGTGGACGCGGGCGCCGAGACGATGACCAAGCGGCTCCTCAAACGTGGGGAGACCAGCGGGCGCGTGGACGACAACGAGGAGACCATCAAGAAGCGGCTGGAGACCTACTACCAGGCCACGGAGCCCGTCATCGCGCACTACGAGAAGCGGGGCATCGTGCGCAAGGTGGGCAGCCCGCGCAGCCTCGGTTTCCCCACTGCTGGTGTGTGTGTGGGGGGAGGTCAGCCCCCACGGCTCCGCCTTCACGGGGGACTCCGTCTCCCCGCAGATCAATGCCGAGGGCTCCCCCGACGAGGTCTTCAAGGACATCTGCACCCACCTGGACCAGCTCAAGTAGGGCGGCTGCAGCCCCCGACCCGCCCCTACCGCCCTCCCGCCCGCCCGCCGCAGGCTCGCCGGCCACCGCCCAGGCCTGCTGGGACAGAGGAAGCCACTTCATCCTGTTTTCATGGAGGCCCACAGCACTAAAGGAATCGTCAAGGACATTCCGTTTTCCTCTTTCTTTGCTCCCGCCAGAGTCGGTTGCCTGTGTTGTGTGTGATTGGGGGTCCCGGCCCCTGCCACACCCTTGCCTCCTTGGACCCCCGCACCCCGCCTCTGGCCATGTCCCCTGGCGCAGTGCCTGCATGCGGCTCTCCCCCTGGGGTCCTGCCTCCCTCCCAGGGTCTGAGATCCTGGAACCCCAGGGGCCCCCTGGGGACACAATGGCTCTGAGGTGGGGACCTGCCTCTTTGTCCAAGAACTCTGAGGGTGACGAGGGGCTTTGAGACCCAAAGGGGAATGTGGGGTCCCGATCAGGGGTGCTTTCTCACCATGAGGCCTAGGCTGGGCTCCATCTGTCCCCCTCCTCTATTTATTTTTTGGTTTGGGGGGTCATCCCCAGCAGTGCTCCCCACTTACGCCTGGCTCTGTGCTCAGGGATCACTCCTAGAGGGGCTCAAGGGACTCAAATGCCATGCAGTAGATTCGACCTAGTGTCAGACTCCGGGGGTCACAGGCGAAGCAAGTATGTCACCTACTCGCCCTCTCTGATCCCGTTTCCAAGCCTGAGTTCGCTTGGGGCCCCTCCTCCCAGCTCAGATGAGAGCCCGGAGCAAAGGCAGCCGGAAGTAGTCAGCTGCCAGGCAGGGCCAGAATGCCTGGGGGTTACCCGAGAAATCGTGGGGAGAACCAGCTTCCTTTTCCTATCCTCTTGTCCCCCCAGGGACATCCTCGTGGACAGAGCCTCTCCAGAGCTCACAGAGGACCCAAGAGAGCCTTAGGGGGGGACCACAAACCAAGTGGAGGGTCCATGTGCCCCGAGGGCTCCCAGCTACTGACCTCACCTGCGTCTGCTCTTCCGGCTTGCCTTTCAAACGCGTGTTTAGGTGGGGGGGGGGGCAAGCCTGGCTCGGTGGCAGAGAGGGAGGCCCTGGGCCCATCCAGGGACCGCAGAGAGAATGCAGAAGGGCCTGGAGCAGCATAATGCTGTGTGCTGGGGGACCGGGAGAGGACGGAGACTGTGGGTGACTCGGAGTGAGCCTCCTGGACCAGGGGTGTCGCGTTTGCCAAATACACGCACCAATTCTTTTTATTCTTTGGCCACACCCGGCGATGCTCAGAGCTTGCTTAGTCCTGGCTCCACGCTCAGGAATTATCCCTGCCGGTGCTCAGGGGACCCTATGGGATGCCGGAAATCGAACCCAGGTTGGCCGAGTACAAGGCAAACGCCCTCCCTGTTGTGGCCCCAACACCTACGCCAATTCTATGGAAGGATGTCTAAGATCCAGTGTCAGGATGAAGCCACGCCAGCGGACTTAGAACCTGGAGAAATCCTCCTGGTAGCCATCAGAGGGATGCACAGCAGGAGGCAGACCCTGAGTTCTATCCCTGGCACCCCAGGAAGATCTGAATGGTGTAGGTTTTGTCAGGGCCAGAGAGAGAGAGGACAGCGGGTGGGGTGCTTGCTGGCCTTGCATGCAGATGACCCCAGTTCAATCCTCAGCATCCCATAGGGTCCCCTGAGCACTGCCAGAGCGCCAGGAGTGACCCCCGAGTGCAGAGCCAGGAGTAAGCCCTGGGCACCGCCAGGTGTGGCCCCCACCAAGAAAGAAAAGGGAAAAAAGTTTTTGGTTTTTGGGGCCACATCCGGCTGTTCTCAGGCCTTTTCCTGGCTCTGAGCCAGGGGTCCCACCTGGCAGTGCTCAGGGGACCACGTGGGGTGCTGGGGATCAAACTCAGGTCGGCCACATGCAAGGCAAACCCCCTCCCGCTGTGCTGTCTCTCCAGCCCCCACGATATTAGCTCTTTTTCTTACTCATTTGCAGGGGTGGGATGGAACCGAGGGCCTCCCATTAGGCCCATCCCTAATCACTTTTAAAGTTTTATTTGTGCTTTGAGTTCTGGGGTTTTTGCTTTGTTGGGGGCCCACACCTGGTAATGCTCAGGACTCTGGGCTCGGTGCTCAGATGACAGCTCCACGGGCCACATGGAGTGCTAGGCATTGAGGCAAGCACCTGAGCCCCCTCCAACCCCACTTTTTATGCCCTAGTTTGTAGGAACTTAACTGGCCTCCACGTTTTTCCCATAGATTCATTTTGTTCTCTCTAAAGTAAAAGCAGAAGGTCGAGGACTGAGATTCGCAGGGTGGGCAGGGCGGGTGCCTTGCCTGCCAGTGGGGGCCGGGACTGTATCCCTGGCACCACATGCTCCCCAGTTGTGACGGGAGAACAACACGGGGGGGGTGCCCCCCTTCCAGATAGAAATGAAAAAGCAGCACCTGAAACGTTTTGGCCGGGGGGGGGGGGGGGTTGTGGGGGGAGGAATAGAGACGTTATCACCAGCAGCCAGTGTCAACCGCCCTCAGGATTTCCTGAGGGAGCGTCTGATGAGCTTCAGGGCATGGCCAGGCCGGCAAGACCCAGCGCCTAAGCTTCGTAGGGCTGAGGGGAACCCCAGCACCCCACACTCAGCCCATCTGGGAACCACATCAGCGCTCAGGGGCGCCCCCTGCTGGCGGGAGACTCCTGGAACTGGGGTTCCAAGAGTTGGCTGGGAATCCAGGGACAGTGCAGGACCGAGGACAGGCCACTGCAGAGACACGGGCGAGGAGAGGCAATTAGGTGGCACGCAGACATGTGACGCCCCAGCAGGGCCATGAGTGGGCGTGGTGGCAGGAGACGGTGTCTATTCTCCATGAATGCCCACCCAGGCAGGAGGAGAACTTCCCCAGAGGGCAGTCAGAAACTCGGGGGTACTGCCCAGGGGCCAGGGATCCAGCCCAGGGCCTAACGGCTGAGCAATCCCCCCGCCCCTTGTCAAAGAATTTGAAAGTAAATTACATGCTCCAAAAGAATGTTATCTCCAAAATATAAGTTTAGTAGCGGGGATGCTAAAGTCATTTTAGCCTCATGTTTTCCAGGTGAGGGAGACAGCTCACGGCAGGGGAGGGGGGCTACACGCCTGGAAGGCTCCAGGTCCCAAGTTTGATCCCCAGCACCGCTATTTCCCTCATTCCCTGCCTCCCCCCAGGCCCTGGTGGCAAAAGGTCTGGCTTTAGTGGGGTCACAGGGCTAGGTACCACCCAAGTGGGCCACTAGACCCTTGAGCACTGCTGGCGAGTCCTCTCAGGAAATCAGGAGGTTTTCCTAGATAATTACGTTTCAGAAACAGAAGATAATGTTAAGAACTGGAGCACGTGCCATTTTCTGTAATTGTTTCCAGGGTCATGGCTCCAACAACCAACTTCCCCCTCATTCCTACACCCCACGGATTTCTCATGCCCTGGAAATTCTCGGCAGAGTCTTCATGGATTCTAGACTAAGCCTTTGGGGCCAGGAAATCGAAGAGTGAAGATTTTTTTTTTTTTTTTTTGGTTTTTTGGGTCACACCCGGCGATGCACAAGGGTTATTCCTGGCTCTGTACTCAGGAATTATCCCTGGCGGTGCTCAGGGGATCATATGGGATGCTGGGAATCGAACCCGGGTTGGCCGCGTGCAAGGCAAAGACCCTCCCCGCTGTGCTATTGCTCCAGCCCCTAAGAGCGAAGATTCCTGAAGAGTGTGAAGGCAGGCGGGAGGCTGGACCCCGGTCTGACAGACACACAACAAAACCTTCCAGACTGGTTCTGATTCAACAGGTCTGGCCACAGCTGGGGGATGGAGCTGGAACCCTGTGTGTGTGTGTGTGTGTGTGTGTGTGTGTGTGTGTCTGTGTGTGTGTGTGTGTGTAGGGTGGGGAACAGGGATGCATCTGTGTGTGTGTGTGTGTGTGTGTGTGTAGGGTGGGGAACAGGGATGTATCCCCGCCAGGGAGCCAGAACCTTCTCCCCAACCGAGGGCGGAGGGAGACCTTATGACCTTTCAGAGCACGGCTCCAGAAAGGGCCCCCCCTGGGAGGTGGCCTTAGATGCCCCCCCCAGACTGCGCCCCCAAGTCTTGGCTTCAGGGGCTTGGAAGGTCCTGGCCGGAGGCGCAGAAGTGGGAGAGGAAGGAAGCAGGGAGCAGAGGAGGCCAAGCTGTCGCCTCCCAGCCGTGAGAGGGGCCTCGAGTAAACAGGAAGGCCTGGCGGCTCCACCGTGGGGGGGGGCTTTCGGGGGTAGGGGGTGCGGCCCAGGACATGCGCAGCTGTGAGACCCTGCTTCCTCCCAGGGCACCGGATGGGGAGGGCCCCACCTCCCCTCTGTATGCCTCTTGGGGCTCCCCAGTTGGGAGCCCCTGACCTGCCACTCGCGTGTCTCACGGGGTCCCCAAATGACTGTCTCATACTCACGGACCTCAGTTTCCCTCTCGAGGGACTCAGAAACAGAACAAATCATGTGCTAGGATTCTGGAGCCCAGGAAATTCCTCATGGCTTCTTGGGGAGCAGGTAACTCAAGGGGAAGGCCATTTGGAGGGACTGGAGCCCCTGGGCACAGAGCCCTGTCTGGAGACCTCCTCAGACACTGGGTGTGTGTGTGGGGGGTCACCTCCCTGAGTGCTGCGTGTCCCCAGGACCCCTTCCAGGACTCAAGAACACCACCTCTGAGGCCCCAAGCAGGGATACCCCTGAGACAGGCCCTTTCACAGTTTCACCCTGGAAAACTTCTGTCCTGGAGAGCAAGGCAAATAAAAACACTGGAATCCAGGGGGTGCTGGGGGTGGTATGTTCCCTGGGAAGCGATTGTCGGTCTGGGGGACAGCCTTGCGGCCCCCATGAGCACAGGTGGCAGGGGAACAGGAAGGAGGCCAGACACTGAAAGGGGGGCGCCAGTGGGGAGATGCTGAGGGGGAGGGAAGCACCAGCAGGTGTTTGGGGCTGTGGCTCCTACCCTGGAGGAGAGTGCAGTGGACCCCTGCACTGGGCCGAGGGCTGGTCTGGGGGCTTGCTTGCTGTGCACGGCGGGAAACGAGTTCAAATGCGGAACCACTGCTGAGTGTAAGCCCCAGAGATGCCCAGCACTGCCAGGGTGGCTCCTGGCATCGCAGGACCTAGTGGGACACTTGTCTTTACAAGGGGCTCCAGGACTCCTGAGCACTGCTTGGGGGCCCCATTCCCCTCCCACCCCCCAAAAATAAACGTGTGGAGGCAAGGTGAGCTCTGCGAGGTGGCAGGAGCATCGCTGAGGGTGCCGGAGCAGATGGGGGAGCAGCCTAGAGAGGGATTCTAGCTGGTGGTCGCCGAAACGGTGCACGTGTGCAGCTCACGCGCGGTTGTAAGAAATGCACATGGGCTGGGCTCAGAGGTGCGCATGCGCAGTACTCATCCAGACCCGAGGTCTTGGATGTGCGCATGTGCAATGGTCAGCCGCGCGCATGCGCAGGGGCGCCCCACATCCCTCCCTGCACGGTGCTGGGTTCGAGTGTGAGCAGCAGAGGAGATCCGCGTTGCGGAGTCACTGAGCCGGGAGCCACGTTTTATGGCCAGGATCCTGGGAGTTAGGACCCCACTTTTTTTTTTTTTTTTGCTTTTTGGGTCACACCCGGCGATGCTCAGGGGTTACTCCTGGCTCATGCACTCAGGAATTACTCCTGGCGGTGCTCGGGGGACCATATGGGATGCTGGGAATCGAACCCGGGTCGGCCATGTTGGTTGCGTGCAAGGCAAACGCCCTACCTGCTGTGCTATCGCTCCAGCCCCAGGACCCCACATTTTTGCATTGTTTCGGGGGGAACCTTCCTCGCTGTGCACACGCAGCTCCCAGACACGCTTGACCAGGCCGGACAGTTCAGGGCTCGGCCCGAGGACGTGGCTTTGTCCCCGGGCCATACCCAGCTGGGGCGGCAGGTGGTGCCGGGCTCAGACTCCTGTCTGGCCCCGTTGCTCTGCTCCCCGGCGCTGTGATCTCTCGTGAACGTTCTTGTTTTGTTTCATAGCTGCAACTGGTGGTGCTCAGAGATCATCAGAGATCACCCCCAGCAGGGCTGGGGGGACCCGATGCAGTGCGGGGGATCGAACCAGGGTCTCCTTAACTAACCCTGGGCTGTCTCTTGGGCCCCGGGTCCTGCCTGTGAGAGAAAACAGAACAGGACAGTCGCCTATTACAGAGGCAAGGGTGCGCCCCAGGGCTATTGAGTCTCGTGGGCCTGCACTCCGGGGCTGCCCTGCCTTGGGGCCAAGGTCTGTAACCTCACTGGGGAGTGAGGGTGATAGAGAGAGGTCCAAGCCTGGGAGGATGAGGAGGCAGCCAGAGCCACCGGGATGGAATGTTCTGGAAGCCCAGGGTGGAAAGCCAGGCCCAGATTCCAATTCTCCTTGGCGTCTCCCCTCCCCACCCCACCGTCCTGAGCCTCAGTTCCCTTCCTGCTGAGTTGACAGCCCCCGCAGGGGCCCTGGACAAGGGCTGGACAAGTGCATGGGGGTGGCGGGTGCAGTGGTCCCCAGCTGTGTGAGAGACGTGAGCTCCTGCAGGCCTGCAGCCCGCCCCAAAATCCGGCCCTCGGGAGGCCTGTCCTGTCCTGGCCTGCTCCGTCTCACTTTCTCCTGGGCCCGGGGTCTGGCCCCGGTCCGCTCAGTGGCTCCTGGCTCCAGGCCGGTGCTGGAGACGGACAGCCGCCTGCGGGGGTGGGGGGTCATCTCTGGGGGCCGCCGCACATTCCTCCAGTGGCCAGTGGCCAGGGTCGACGTGCTGTGGTTCTTCCTGCGGCCCTGGCCAGTTGGGAGGAGGAAGCAGCGCGTGGCCACCGTGGGGCTAGACACGGGTCTGCCCTGGCCCCCAGCCTGCGGTGGGCTTGCGTGGGAGTCTGGGACGGGGCTCCTTCCAGGGGGGCCCCCAGGGCCAGGGTAGGGCCCAGGGACTGGTGGCAGCAGGGGCTGGGCCATTTGGGGCTTGGAGGGCCTGGTCAGGGGAGCGAGCCTACAGATTGGCAGTGACCCCCCCCCAGAGGAGGGGACCGGAAGAATGAGCCCTCACGCTCTTCCGGCCCCCCCTCTTCCTCCTCCCTCTCTGATCTGGGTCCAGCTGGACTGAGGAGCCTTGTGAGGGGCAGGCAGAGGAACCCCAACCCTGAGGTCTGACCATCAGGCTTCTCGGGGACAGGAATGTTCTAGAAGCCCAGGGAGGCCCAGGATGTGCCTCTTCCCGCAGGGGCAGAGCCTGCTTCCCTGAGCCTCAGTTTCCCTCTGCTGCAGCATCCCTTGCGCCCTTGTGGGCTTTTCTCTTCTTGTTTTACTCAGGGGGTGCCCCCTGCTCTGCTTGAGGGTTGGTCCTTGTGGAGTTTGGAGGGGTCTCTGTGATGCCAGGATGGATCAGCCCACAGGTACCCCTTGCCCAGCATATGAGCTTTCCAGGGAGCACCCCAAGGGCAGGGCGCCCGCTGGGGTCTGTATGGGGACCCCCAGCAGGAGCCAGCACCCCCACGCACGGGGTGGGGTGACCGCTGCAGGGAATGGGACGGCCTCTCTAAAGTCTTGGTGGGCCCAGGCTCTTGGAGGCTGGCTGGAGGGTCTTCTCTCTCTGGAGCCCCCAGTTCTTCTCTTAATACCAGGGGTTCCTGCATAAAGGGGTGGGTGCAGTGAGGGGTGGGGCCTTGGGACGGGCCTCCTATGAGGGTCCCCCGAGACCCGTGACATCTGTGCCTCCCAAGTTCAGAAAGAGCTAAGCTGGGGTCCAGGCAGCCCTGGGTCTCCATTGTGCAGCTGGGGGTTACCTTAACTTCAAGGAGCCCCAACTCTTCGGTCAGCGGGAGACCTGGGTGGGGTATAGATTCAGAGCTGATCAGGGGAGTGCCTGGGTGGGTGGGGGAGGAGAAAGAGAGATGGGGGGGCCGGAAAGAGGAAGGGAGAAAGGCAGAGGGAGAGGGTCCCCCAGCTGCGAGTTGGGGTACAGGCTTCTCAGTCACCCCTGGGCTGCAGAAGTGCCTTAGAGATGACCCCAAGTTGCGCCTTTTGAACCGGAAGATGTCGACCCCCACCCCCCAGGGACAAGCGTGTGTGGCCCGGGCTGCCCCCCTGGTTCTCGAGGCCAGTCCGTGCCTGGGTGGACATAACCCTTGCTCATCACCAGCCTCAGTTTCCCTCCTGTCCCAGGGTATACCCCAGGGCATACCCCAGCTCCATCATCACCAGCTCTTAGCCCGTGGTGGGGGCTCATCTGCCAGGCTGGGCTCAGCGCTACCCACAGTCCCCGGCCAGACCCGGGCCCCAGAAGTCCCCAAGAGAGAATTTCAGTGACAGCGTTGGTCTGTGCCCCCCAGCCCCCGCATACCACCAGCCCTGGCGGGAAGGGATGAGAGGGGAGGGTGTGTGGGGCGATGAAGCCGGAGCCTGGACCCTCCCACCCCCCCACCCCGGCCCAGGGCCCCCCACCCAGCGACAAAGCCCGTGGCACTTCCTCTCCCCGCCTGGCAGGCCGCCTGGCCCGGCCCCTTCTCTAAGGAAGCGCATTTCCTGCCGCCTCTGGCCCGGCTGGATGAGCCCGAAGCTCCCACCGCTGCCGCTCAGACCCCAGCCTCCAGCTGCACCCACGGACCCCGACAGTCCCCGCAGCAGCTGCCACTGTCCACAGGAGCCGGCCGCCCCGCCCATCCAGCCCCCCTCCCCACCGGCCGCACCACCACCCCCCGGCCTGGCCCCGTGCCCCGGTGCCCACTTCTCCTGACCCCTCGGCCGCCACCTCAGAAGGCTGGAGCAGGGACGCCGCCACTCCGGCCGCCTGCTCCCCTTGGGTCCCCACGAGAGCCCACGCCGGCCCCCGCGCCCACCCGCGGCCCTGCCCCTGGACACCGGATAGGGCCCCGCACGCCGCGCCCGGCTGGACAGCATGGACCGACGCCCGCACCCCCCGCTGCTGACCCTGTTGCTGGCCCTCTACAGCCTCGGCCACACAGGTAGGTGCTCAGGGACCAGCCGGGGATATCGCGACGCCCCCCCCCCCAGATCCCTGCCCCCCCACCCTGCTTGTCGCCTGAGCTCTGCCCAGCGGTGTGGCTGGCCCCAGCCTGGCCCCCAGACCCTCCAGCTCCCCAGGAAAGTTGCATTTACTTTCTCTCTTCCCGCTCAGCACCCCTCCTTGTTGGCCCCCAAGAAGCTTGGGTCCCCATGTGCTGTGCGGGCCTGGGCGAGTCGCCTGCCATTTCTGGGCCGTTTTCCAGCTGCGGAAGGTGGTTCCAGGCTCAGGGCAGGGCGGCCCCCGGGCTCCGAGCTGAGCGGGCTTTGGCGGGCAGGGAGTCAGTCTGCTAGTCCCCGGTGCTTCTGGTGCATGTATGTTCACCGTCCCGTCCGACGCCCCCTCCCCTCCCGGAACCCCCACTTCGCTCTGTCTCAAGAAGGGTTCAGGGGGGGCTGGAGCGATAGCACAGCGGGGATGGCGTTTGCCTGGCACGCGGCCGACCCGGGTTCGATTCCCAGCATCCCATATGGTCCCCCCGAGCACTGCCAGGAGTCATTCCTGAGTGCAGAGCCAGGAGTAACCCCTGTGCAAAGCCGGGTGTGACCGAAAAAGAAAGAAAGAAAGAAAGAAAGAAAGAAAGAAAGAAAGAAAGAAAGAAAGAAAGAAAGAAAGAAAGAGTTCGGGGTTCAGGCCCGGGCTTGGGGTGCTGCGGGGGCCGTTCTTCCACCTGGGGGGGCTTCTTCCAACGTGTCTTCTGGTCTCAGCTGCTCCCTGGAACTGGCCCGCCGTGGGACTGAGGCCTGCCAGCCCCTTGTGGCCTTCACGGTGGGTCTCGCTGGGCCCTGCCCCATCTCCCCCAGGCCCCAGGGCGACCCCTGGGTCCCCTTCACTGGCTGCTGCCTTCAGGAACTCCCAGGGACTCTGGAGGCAGTTGGTGGGGGGGGTTGCTGCCGGACGCCCCCTACCCTACCCTCAGCCTTTAAAAATCCTCGCTCCCTCGCCACTAACGCTAGCGGCTCAAGGCAGGCAGGAAACTGAGTCTGATGCTGCGCAGGGATTTGACCCCCAGCCTGTGGCTCAGGGAAATGTTCGCTCCCAACCACGTAGGGTCCCCGTGCCCCTCTGGGCCCTCTCTCTGTGGGCCTTCAAGGTGGCTGGCATGCGGCCCACTGGACGGGGAAGGGGGAGGAGAGGGGACTTTCTCCTGCCCGCCCCCCATTTCTGGGTGAGATAACTCACTCAGAGAAGCATCTCGGCCCTTCGGGGTCTGGTTTCTAGGGGCTGGAAGGCCGTGACGCACAGATAAATCATTAGTAACCAGGGCGGGGTAGCTTTTGTCAATTTTCATGGGGGGAGTGAAATGTTCTCACCCGGCAGATCACGGTGCACCCCCTTATCTGGTGCTGACACCCCACCGATCAGTGTGATAGTCTCAGGAGCACAGACAATGACAGAATGAAGAGTAAGTGGAGAATGTGAGCTTAATGTTCACTGCCTTTAAGAATCCATCACTGGGGGCTGGAGCACAGCCGAGAGGGCATTTGCCTTGCACGCAGCCGACCCGGGTTCAGTCCCCGGCATCCTATATGGTCCCCCAAGAAGTGCCAGGAGTAATTCCTGAGTGCAGAGCCAGGAGTAACCCCTGGGTATCGCTGGGTTGCCCCCTACCCCCCCAAAAAAATCAATCAATGGAGGCTGGAGCCTTAGGACAGCAGGGAGGGCTCTAGCCTTGCATGCGACCGACCCAGGTTCGATCTCTGGCATCCCATATGCCGCCCCCCCGCCCCAGCATCATCAGGAGTGATCCCTAAACACATAGCCAAGAGTAACCCCTGAGCACTGCTGGTTGTGCCCAAAAACAAAGAAGAAAACACGCTTGACTTCCTTGGAAGTTTATGAAATGAAATGTCTGATTCTGGCTGATTTGAACACCCTGAACCTCGAGGGGTCTGCTCCCATGAGCAGGGTAGGAACAGCGGGGTAGGGAACATGTCAATGATTTGGCGGCTCTCCAGCATGCCACCCGGCCCAGCTAACTGACCGTCTGGGCAGCAGGAGCCCAAGGAGGACCCCTAGTGTGTGGGCTCAGGTGTGGGTCCAGGTCTCTGCGGTGGGCCAAGGGGGTGGGAGGGGACCCTCGTTCCTGATGGGGACGTGGTGAGCTCAGGTCACCACGTGAGCACAGGTTCCACACAGCGAGGCAGAACCTTCCAGAAGCTGCGGCTGCCTGTGGTCTCCTGAGGTCGGGCCGCATAGCTGGTGGCCCAGTTCAGTCAAGACACGTCGTCCCGGGGCTGGAGCGATCGTTCAGTGGGTAAAGCCAACCCGGGTTTGAACTCTGGCACGGTGTATGGTCTCCCAAGCCCCCTCTGGCATAATCCCTGAGCACAGAGCCAGGAGCAGGCCCTGAGCACACACGCCCCCACTCCCCCCCCACCAAAAAATAAACACGTGTGGTCCAGGGTGAAGAGAGAGTACAGGGTGTGGTGTGTGCCTTGGCATGACCAGCCCTGGTTGAGTCCCCAGAACCACCTGGGCTCCCCGAGCACCGAGTCAGAAGCCGCTCCTGAGCACTGCCAGCTGTGGGCCCTGGTTTTGTAGCAAAAACCTAACGCACCTTCGGGCCTGGGTGAGGCCCCGAGTGCCCATCCCAGACGTGGCAGCGGTTTCCCAGGCTGTCCCTCAGGCCTTGAGTGGGTCCCTGATCAGGAGCCCCCCAGCACTGTACCAGGAGGGACCCTGGCCCACCCCAAGCCCAGCAAACCCGAGTGTCCAGGCGCTCGGTCTCGGTGAGCAGAGAGCCCTGCGGTGGGCACTGGGCAGTGCCTGGCCTGTTGCGAGCAGATGTTGGGGGGCATGTTCGGTGCCCCAACAGCAGGGGTTCCACCTCTTCAAGAAGAAAGGGTGATCTCCGGTGAGGCTGTTTTCCAAGGGTCCACACTGTTTTTCTTTCCCTTTTGTTAACTGACGGGCCATCCCCAGCAGTGCTCAGGGCTCACTGGTGGCAGACTTGGGGGACCCCATGGGATGCCCAAGGGTCAGCTGCTCGCAGGGCAGGCGGCTGCCAGATGCGCGCTCTCTCTCTCTCTCTCTCTCGTGCGCGCGCACACGCGCTCGCTCACTCACTCGCTCGCTCGCTCTCACTCTCTTCCAGCACATCTCAGGTCCCCTCCCAGCAGTGCCCTGCCTGGTGACTCAGGCCTGGTGGCTCATCCCACCTGTGCAGCGGTGCTGGGGCTTCCCTGGGGTCACCCTCTACGGCGCTAGGGGTCAAACTGAGGACCCCATGCCTGCTAGGCATGCGCAGTTAGCCACCTGGCCCCTAGTTTTACTTTGTTGTTGTTTGGGCTGGAGCGATAGCACACGCGGCCAACCTCGCCGACCCAGGTTCAATTCCTCTGCCCCTCTTGGAGAGCCCGGCAAGCTACCGAGAGTATCTCGCCCGCACGCGGCAAAGACTGGCAAGCTCCCCGTGACGTATTTGATATGCCAAACACAGTCACAAGTGTCACAATGGAGACGTTACTGGGCCCACTGGAGCAAATCGATGAACAGTGGGTGGACAGTGACAGTGACAGTTGTTTGGGGGCCACACCTGCTGGTGTTCAGGGATTGCTCCTCCTGGCTCTGTGCTCAGGGGTCACACCTGGCAGGGTTCAGGGTGACCCTGTGGGGTGCCAGGATTCACACCCAGGTCCGCCAGTGCAAGACCAGTATTTTATCATCTTAACTGTCACTCCAGCCCCGATGTTGGCCTTTTTTTTTTTTTTAAAAGAACAAACTTGGGGAGGTGTTTTCAACGTAGCCTCACCACGGCTTTTCTTCAGGCCCTGCTCCGCACCGATAAGAGGGGAAATTCCCTCCCAGGGAATTTTTTTTCTTTGCACGTTGTGGGTGCTAGGGGTGTCTCCCAAGCAGTGCTCAGGACACCCAAGGTTCCTCGGTGATTCTCAGCCAGGCAGATTGGCGATTCAGCGCTGGGGCTTGGGGTCGTGGTGCCCCTCAGACCCTGTGACGTTGGGGGTCACAGGGTGCAGGGACGGCAGGACTGACCCAGCCATGTTCAGAAATCGGGGTTCAGCCACATGCACAGCAAGTGCCTTCACCCCTTCACCCCTGTACTCTTTCTGCAGCCGAGATTTTTGGGGTTTGGGTTGGTTTGGTTTGGGGGCCACACCCAACCATGCTCAGGGCTTTCTCCTGGCTCTCTGCACTCAGGGATCACTCCTGGCATACCTGGGGCAACCATATGGGGTGCTGGGGACCGAACCCAAGTTGGTCACCTGCCAGGCAAGCGCCCCTCTCCACTGCACTATGGCTCCAGCTCCCACAGCTCTAGAATGCAAAGGGGGTCGATATTTGGGAACTTGCATATTCTTCTCAGGTCTCCAAACTTCCTGTGTTGGCGGCATGTGGGCTCCATAACCACCCCAGGGCAATTCTGGAATGTTCTCTCCTTGTGAATCCCCTCCTGTCGACTGTTTTGGTGGCCGCCCCTTTTTTTAGTTACAAATGCCACCTTGGCACACATTTTCGAGACTTTTCCCTGTATTGGGGGGTTATTCTGGTTGGATGGATGCCCGGGGTGGGGGGTGCTGGGGTTCACCGGACAGCTAGGATTAAAGAAGGTGGAGGGCAGGGGTGGGGGGCCGAGTCTTGATTTGGAACTCTCAGCCCCCCGCCGCCTACCCTCTGCTTCCAGCCTGAGGGTGGGGGTGAGGAACTTTCTAGAAAGGGGCAGTGGTGCTGGGCAGAGATGACAAATACCCATTTCTTGGGCCAGAGAGGTAGAATGGGGGGTAGGGCTCTTGTCTCACACGCAGCCCTGGCCCAGATTCGATCCCTGGCACCCCCTCTGCTGCCCTGAACCACACCAGGAGTGACCCCTGAGCACAGAGCCAGGAGGGACCCACGAAACAGATGCTCCAGATCTCAGAGGCTTTATTCTGGGGCAGCTGTGCATTCGCCAGAGGGAAAGAGGCTGGACCAGGGGCCAGG